GAATCCGAAAAAGTGTATATCAAAGAGCTACCTCTGAGATACCCTTGTTGTTCACGTGATGCTGTGGTCCAATCAGAATGGAATCCGAGGAAGTGTATATTAAAGAGCTACCTCTGAGATCCTCTTCTTGTTCACGTGACGCTGTGGTCCAATCAGAATGGAACCCGAGGAAGTGTATGTCAAAGAGCTACCTCTGAGATCCCCTTCTTGTTCACGTGACACTCTGGTCCAATCAGAACGTCCCAAGGAAATGGATATCAAAGAGCTACCTCTGAGATCCCCTTGTTGTTCACGTGACGCTGTGGTCCACTCAGAATGGAAACCGAGGAAGTGGATATCACAGAGCTACCTATGAGATCTCCTAATTCTTCACGTGACGCCCTGGTCTACACAGAACTGTCCGCGAAAGTGCCAGGCTAGGTGGATGTTTCTCGCGGCCCTCCGGTTTCCCCTCCACATTTAGAGTCAACATGCATGTCGAGTGCAGGCTGTCCTCGAAACGGCTTCCACGATTATTATTTTTGATACATCGACTTACAACGCCAACTCACACTTGCAAACTGAATCACGGGACTACTTTTGTTCAGCGGAAGGATCCTCCGCGAGATGTAATGCGTCAGCCCCGCGCTCGGAAATAAGTGCTTGCGCGTGTGCACGCGCATGTGTGTATGTATGTGTGATTGTGTGAGTATGTTTGATGTGTGTGTATGTGTGACTGTGTGTGTATGTGTGACTGTGTGTGTATGTGTGACTGTGTGTGGTACAGGAGGACGTGGAGCTGAGTGGACTTGCCGATGACTGGTACCAGCGGTGTCAAGATCGGCCTCTGTGGAGGAGGCTCGTGAAGGACGCTACTGGGCAGTTGGAGGCAGTCGCCCTCCAATAACAACGGAGGGCGGAGGAGCGACGCTCACAACAACGAGCGGAGCGCCGGGTGGCTAAAGCACAGCAAGTTGGCACAGTAGGGGGCACAGGTGGTGCATCAGCCAGTCATCTCAGTCAGTCGACCCGTGGCACCTGGGTCTGCCCCGTGACCTCCTGCCAGCGGGCGTTCGACACTTCACGTGGCCTCAGGATGCACATAGCCTGGCACAAGCGTCGTGGTGACGTCACCGCCACTTAGTGGCGAATGGCGGTTGTTGTTGTTGTATGTGCGGCTGGGATTGGCATCGTCCCCCACTCCTCCTGATGTCGAGGGTAAATGGGCGAGGTTTAGGACTGTGACTCATGCAGCTGCAATGGCTGCTTTGGGTACGCGGTCCAGACCTCCCCAGAGACCCTGGCTGACAGAGGAGGTGTTCAGGATGGTTGAGAAAAAGCGACAGGCCCACTGTCATCGGCTACAGAATCCCACGTCAGAGAATGAGGAGGCTTACCGCAGCCTTCGCTTGGAGGTTCAGAGAGCCGTGAGGCACTGCAAGGATGGGTGGTGGTTGCGGGTTGCTGAGGAGATGGAATCTGCCTCAGTGGCCCGCGATCACAAACCACTCTTTGCTTCCATCAAAAAAGTAACTTGTAGTGCCACACCTATCACCAGGTTTGCAGATTTGCTGAGCATATCTGTGAGGTCTTGGGGAAGGGGGAATCCCTCAGCCTGGAAAACATCATGGGGCAAAGTGGGGATGACGCTGCTGAGGCTGTAGTACCCCAAATACTGGAAGAGGTCGTCACCCCCTCTGAGTGGCTGGCTAAGGTGCCATCTGTTCAGGAAGTACTGAAGGCGATCCAGAGTCTGAGAGCAGGAAAGGCACCGGGCAGAGATGATCTCCCAAGCAAAATGCTGAGGGAAGGTGACGTTTGTGCACAGACTGCCCTACATGACATTATAATAACAGTCTGGACCACTGGACAGGTTCTGTAGGATTAGAAGGATGCCCTGGTGGTCCTCTTTAAGAAGGGGGACCGCACAGACTGTAACTACTACAAGGGCATCTCACTCCTCAGTGTGCCGGGAAAGGTCCTGGGCAAGGATTATTAGGCATCGCCTTGCTAGGCACACTGAGGAGAGGCTTGCGGAGCCCCAATGTGGTTTCAGGAAAGGGCGGTCCTGCACAGATGCCATATTTTCTGTCCGTCTGCTACAGCTGAGGTATAGGGAATTCCAATAAGACCTACATCTCTGCTTTATTGACCTGGTCAAGGCCTATGATACCATCAGTAGGCCCTGGGCTCTGGGTTGTTCTTCGTGCTTTCAGAGTCCCTGACTCTCTGCTCACGAGCATTAAGGACCTTCATGATGGTGAGTGGGCCCGGGTAAAACTACGTGGCCGGGAGTCGGAGGCACTAACCACACACAGAGTACATGTGTTGAACATGCAAACAAACATGCTCTTATAACATTTGACATTCTTTGAAACTGATTGGCCTACACCAGAAACCTTCTTTAGGGCCTCGTGTCACCACCAGAGAACAGCGTCAAAATGCGAACAGTACAAGGGCAATGCCACACGTATCAGAGCATTTTTTAGCTCGGGCTGAGCAGCAACTATATGATGGGATACCTTTTTGGCAGCGTTGTAGTATGAAAACTAACACAGTTAAACCTTGGATTGCGAGGAAACTTGGTCTGTGAGTGTTTTGCAAGACGTGCAATTTTTTAAAATTAATATTAATTTGATAAGCGAGCGAGGGTCTTAGCAATACGAGTTGTAGTATGTTTATGCTTCGTCTGCCGAGCGTCACGTGATCACAGCTGATGTACGAGTGCTTTGATATACGAGTGCTTTGATTCACAAACACGTTCCCGAAACGAATTATGCTCGCAATCCAAGGTTTTACTGTAATTATGTTTGTTTTTTTACCCTTTCTGGCAATTAAACAGGATGTGTGTGAAGATGTTCAAACACCAAACGGATGATACCTTGTGCAAGGAATCAAGCTACTGCTTTAGCCACACACAGTACCTGTGGTGAACGTATAAAGATAATCTTCTTTCATATATAAAGGGGGAATTTGTGAATGTGTGTCTGTTCAAAATGTTTAGCGTACTTTCCCGACATGCAACAAACTTGAAATCTATATATATAAAAGGGAAATTTGTGAATATGTGTGTCTGTTCAAAATGTTTAGCATACTTTCCCGACATGCAACAAACTTGAAATCGATATATATAAAAGGGAAATTCGTGAATATGTGTGTCTGTTCAAAATGTTTAGCGTACTTCCCGACATGCAACAAACTTGAAATTTGGCACGTGGGTAGCTTCCAGGCTGTACACAATGCAAAAAGTATAAAAATAGACTTTTGTATTTTGGGGGGGGGGGGTGGGGCGCAATAATGGATATATATTTTGCACGGACAGTGAGCTGTGACGTCACATCTGTGACGTCACCCGCATGCGGCAGCGTCACGCAGTGTGCCTGTGACGTCACGCATCCCCCCCTCCCACTCTCCGCGTAGGGCCGCGTGTTAATCGAAGCCAAGAATCCAAGTATCGGGCGAAGCCGGCTAGCAAAGCTTCTCACTAATATACGATGCATTGGTTTTGGACCTGATTGGCCTACACCAGAGAAAACAGCGTTCTTTATGGCCTAGGGGGCCGCCCATAAATGACGTCACGCACCTAGGGGCGGGGTCAGACATTTGTGACGATGCGTGACGAGGGGGAGAGGAGGGTTTGAGAAATGTGACGTCACATCAAAAATGGGCAAATTTAAATAAATATAGACACAACACGTTCTACTTAATTAAATAGACTTTTTTAATGAATGTTTTCTCCTACACCATCGGAGTGCAGCGCCGCATTAAATAACGCGCTACAATGCCAAGAGTTGGAAGCGATTTGAAGCGTGTTTTATTTTCAAAATGGAAATATGGTTTTAGGGAGGGGGGGGCAGAGCTTTGTGACGTCATATTTGAGGGGGGGGGGTCTGACTTTTTGTGACGCTGTGTGACAAGGGGGGGGGGGGTTGGGTAAAAAATCGTCAAAAATCGCGTGACGTTTAGTGGTTCAAGTTGTTTGAGGGAGAGAGTGGAGTTGGGGGGGGTGAATCGCCACTTGGTACAGCCCAGCGGAGTTGTGGGGGTGGGGGTGAATCGCCACTTGGTACAGCCCAGCGGAGTTGAGGGTGGGGGGTGAAGCACCACTTGGTACAGCCCAGCGGAGTTGAGGGTGGGGGGTGAAGCACCACTTGGTATAGCCCAGCGGAGTTGAGGGTGGGGGGTGAAGCACCACTTGGTACAGCCCAGCGGAGTTGAGGGTGGGGGGTGAATCACCACTTGGTATAGCCCAGCGGAGTTGAGGGTGGGGGTGAATCGCCACTTGGTACAGCCCAGCGGAGTTGAGGGTGGGGGGTGAAGCACCACTTGGTACAGCCCAGCGGAGTTGAGGGTGGGGGGTGAAGCACCACTTGGTACAGCCCAGCGCAGTTGTGGGGGTGGGGGGTGAATCGCCACTTGGTACAGCCCAGCGCAGTTGTGGGGGTGGGGGTGAATCGCCACTTGGTACAGCCCAGCGGAGTTGTGGGGTGCGGGGTGAAGCACCACTTGGTACAGCCCAGCGGAGTTGAGGGTGGGGGGTGAAGCACCACTTGGTACAGCCCAGCGGAGTTGTGGGGGTGGGGGTGAAGCACCACTTGGTACAGCCCAGCGGAGTTGTGGGGGTGAAGCACCACTTGGTACAGCCCAGCAGAGTTGTGGGGATGGGGGTGGGATGAATCGCGACTTGGTACAACCCAGCGCAGTTGTGGGGGTGGGGGGGGGTGAATCGCCACTTGGTACAGCCCAGTGGGGGTGGGTGAATCGCCACTGTCTCGTTACAGCCCAGCAGAGTTGTGAGAGTGGGGGTGGGGTGGAGTGAATCGGCACTTGGTACTACCCAGCGAAAGGTCACGTGAGGTGAAGCACCACTTGGTACAGCCCAGCGGAGTTGTGGGGGTGGGGGGGTGAATCGCCACTTGGTACAGCCCAGCGCAGTTGTGGGGGTGAATCGCCACTTGGTACAGCCCAGTGGGGGTGGGTGAATCGCCACTGTCTCGTTACAGCCCAGCAGAGTTGTGAGAGTGGGGGTGGGGTGGAGTGAATCGCCACTTGGTACTCCCCAGCGGAAGGTCACGTGAGCGGATGCCGCAACGTTTGGCGGGAAAACGCGCCCCCTCGCCCCCCGCCTCCCTCGCCTCAATTTTGGCGGGAAAAAAGGTGGAGCGTCGGCGTCGTCGTTGTTGTGAGGAGTTCTGTTTATTTTGGTATCGAGCCCTGTGAGCCATTCGGCTGTTGAATCGGGTGCAGCCGCAACAAACCCCAAGAAAACACAAAACCACGAACAAGAGGGAGACGAGAGAGCGAGCGAGGGAGCGAGCGACGTTCGTGGCTTCATCTCGACAAACTAAAAACAAAAATGTCTCGACAACAACAAACTTCCCTCACGGACTTCTTCGGCAGCCGCCGGCGCTCGTCGGCGGCTGCTGCTGCTGCTGCCGCGATGCCGGCCAAGAGGCTGAAGCTGCGCGGCTCCGAGGGAGGTTTCCACTTCTCTGGCGGCGACGGCGGCGGCTGCGGCGGCGATGCCGTTGAGGCGAAGGCTCTGAGCGACGTCGTTGTTTTTAGTGGCGCCGCCGCGATGGCGTCGTCGTCGTCAACAACAACGACGACGATGGCGATGGAGGCCGTCGCTGTGAGGAGAGGGAGGCGTGGTCGGCGATCGCGGGAGACGAAGGCGACGAAGGGCGAGGAGGGGAGGACGAGAGTAAGGGGCGACGTGGCCACGTCGGGCGACGACGATCACCACCGCGGCGAGAGGAGGAGGCGGCGGCGGCCACGACGGATCGATGAGGAGGTGGTGGAGGAGGTGGAGGAGGTGGCGGCTGCCACCATCGCCACGCCGAGCAGCGCACCCCGGCAGCTGAGAGCGGCGAGACGGCGGGAGGGTGATGAGGAGAGACGAGGCGATGGTGGTGGTGGTGGTGATGATGAGAGACGAGGAGGTGATGATGATGAGAGACGAGGCGATGGTGGTGATGGTGATGATGAGAGACGGGTGATGGTGGAGAACGATGTTGCAACAACCACCATCACCGCCATCACCACCACCACGAGAAGACGCCGGCGGCTGGGGGAGCAGCAGCGGAAACGAGGGGAGGAGGAAGAGGAGGAGGAGGGGAGACGAGGAGATGGCTGCGGCGAGAATGATGAGGAGGAGGAGGAGGTTGGACACCACGGGGAGAGCCCCGAGAAGAGATCCCGGGAGACGCCGCGCGGAGCCTTCGGCCAGGGGCGGGGACGGGAGGACGAGGGGGAGGCCGTGGGGAGGCGCGCGGCGAGAAAGCGGCTGCACCTCGAGGACGAGCCGGTGGAGAAAGAGGTGAGGGTGGTGGGTGGAGGAGGTGAGGGTGGTGGGTGGAGGAGGTGAGGGTGGTGGGTGGAGGTGTGGTGGGTGGAGCAGGTGAGGGTGGTGGGTGGAGGTGTGGTGGGTGGAGGAGGTGAGGGTGGTGGGTGGAGAAAGAGGTGAGGGTGGTGGGTGGAGAAAGAGGTGAGGGGGGTGGAGGAGGTGAGGGTGGTGGGTGGAGGAGGCGAGGGTGGTGGGTGGAGGAGGTGAGGGTGGTGGGTGGAGGAGGTGATGGTGGTGGGTGGAGAAAGAGGTGAGGGTGGTGGGTGGAGGAGGTGAGGGTGGTGGGTGGAGAAAGAGGTGAGGGTGGTGGGTGGAGAAAGAGGTGAGGGTGGTGGGTGGAGAAAGAGATGAGGGTGGTGGGTGGAGAAAGAGGTGAGGGTGGAGGTGAGGGTGGAGGAGGTGAGGGTGGTGGGTGGAGGAGAGTGAGGGTGGTGGGTGGAGGAGGTGAGGGTGGTGGGTGGAGAAAGAGGTGAGGGTGGTGGGTGGAGAAAGAGGTGAGGGTGGTGGGTGGAGAAAGAGGTGAGGGTGGTGGGTGGAGAAAGAGGTGAGGGTGGTGGGTGGAGAAAGAGGTGAGGGTGGTAGGTGGAGGAGGTGAGGGTGGTGGGTGGAGGAGGTGAGGGTGGTGGGTGGAGGAGGTGAGGGTGGTGGGTGGAGGAGGTGAGGGTGGAGGATGTGAGGGTGGAGGAGGTGATGGTGGAGGAGGTCAGGGTGGTGGGTGGAGGTGAGGGTGGAGGAGGTGAGGATGGTGGGTGCAGGTGAGGGTGGTGGGTGGAGGAGGTGAGGGTGGTGGGTGGAGGTGAGGGTGGTGGGTGGAGGTGAGGGTGGTGGGTGGAGGAAGTAAAGGTGTGTGGAGGAGGTGTGGGTGGTAATGGAGAAAGAGGTGAAGGTGGTGGGGGAGAAAGAGGTGAGGGTGGTGGGGGAGAAAGAGGTGAGGGTGGTGGTGAGGATGGTGGTGGAGGAGGTGGTAGTAGTGGTGAGGATGTTGGAGGGAAGTGGTGGTGAGGGAGGTGGTGGTTGTGAGGATGGTGAGGGAGGAGGTGGTGAGAATGGTGAGGGTGGAGGTGGTGAGGATTGTGAGAAGTGGTGGTGGTGATGATGGTAAGAGGAGGTGGTGTGGTGGTGAGGGGATGGTGTGGCAGCTGTGGGTGGTGAGCATGGTGCACGAGGTGTGGTGGTGAGGATGGTGATGTTCGTGATGATGGAGTTGGTGATGTTTGCGATGATGGAAGCAAGGATGGTGATGCCTGTGATGATGAAAGTGAGGATGGTGATGGAACGTCGATGGTGATGTTGTTGATGGAAGCTAGGATGGTGCTGTTGTTGTTGTTGATTCGAAGCTAGGATGGTGATGTTCGTGATGATGGAAGTGAGGATGGTGATGTTGTTGATGGAAGCTATGATGGTGCTGTTGTTGTTGTTGATTCGAAGCTAGGATGGTGATGTTCGTGATGATGGAAGTGAGGATGGTGATGGAACGTAGATCGTGATGTTGTTGATGGAAGCTAGGATGGTGATGTTGTTGTTGCTGACGGAAGCTAGGATGGTGATGTTTGCGACGATGGCCTTGTTGATGTTTGCGACGAAGCTCTCTATGCTGTGGTGTTACGATGGCTCCACAGGGCGCCGGCGACGGTGATGCCAGCGACGGTGATGCCGGCGACGGCGGTGCCGGCGACGGCGATGCCGGCGACGCTGGTACCGGTGATGGTGACGCCGGTTACCCTCCGGCACCCACAGCCGGGCTTCGCAAGTCCGTGAAGGAGCAGCTGAACCGCAGGCTGTCTCTGTCTCCCGCTTGTGGGGGGCCGAAGGCTTCCCCCAGGGGGGCCCCCCCCACCCCGCAGAAGGGGGGTGGCTGCCCCGGTGACTTGCAGGTGGCGCAAAAGGTGAGATGGGTGGGCGTTACACGGACGTGCTGAGAGACACGTACAGACACGTACAGACACGTACAGAAAGACACAAAGACGTACAGAGAGACAGAGGCGTACAGAGAGACACATAGATGTACAAAGACAAACAGAGAAACACATAGACGTGCAGAAACGTACATAGACGTGCAGAAACGTACATAGACGTACAGTGACACATAGACATACAGAGACATACATAGACAGAGAGAGACACATAGACGTATACAGAGAGACACATAGACGTACAGAGACACAGACATACAGGGACACATAGACATACAGAGACATACATAGAGAGACACATAGACATACAGAGACATACATAGACAGAGAGACACATAGACGTATACAGAGAGACACTTGACATACAGAGACACTAGATATACAGAGACACTAGATATACAGAGACACATAGACATACAGAGACATACAGAGTCACATTGACATACAGAGACACATAGACGTACAGAGACACATAGACGTATACAGAGAGACACAGACATACAGAGACACATAGACATACATAAACAGAGAGACACATAGACGTATACAGAGAGACACAGACGTATACCGAGAGACACATAGACGTATACCGAGAGACACAGGCGTACAGAGACGTACAGAGATACACAGACGTACATCGAGACACGTACCAATAATGCCAATACCCGCCATTCTCCACTAAGTGGCGGTGAAGTCACCACGGTGCCAGGCCATGTGCACTGTGAGGCCACGTGAAGTGTCGAAGGCTCGCTGCCGACACGTCACGGGACAGGCCCAGCAGGCGCTGTGGGTTGACTGCCTGAGATGGCCGACAGATGCACCAGCCGAGACACAGATAAACGTACATATAGACACGTATACTTCTAGAGACGTGTCATACATATGCAGTAAAACCTTGTGGATTGCGATTAACTTGGTGTGCGAGTGTTTTGCAAGAAGAGCAAAAATGTTAAGTAAATATTAATTTGATAAACGAGCGAGGGTCTTGGCAATACGAGCAGTGTACGTGTACACGCTTTGCGCTGCCGAGCATCACTTGATCACAGCTGATGTACGACTGCTTTGGATTACAAACACGTTTCCGGAACGAATTATGCTCGCAATCCAAGGTTTTTACTGTGTTTACATAGAGACACATTAAGACGTACAAAGCCATACATAGACTCGCATAGAGACATACTTAGCCATACATAGACTTGCATAGAGACACACTAAGACCTACAAAGCCATACATAGACTCGCATAGAGACATACTTAGCCATACATAGACTTGCATAGAGACACTAAGACCTACAAAGCCATACATAGACTCACATAGAGACATACTTAGCCATACATAGACTTGCATAGAGACACACTAAGACCTACAAAGCCATACATAGACTCACATAGAGACATACTTAGCCATACATAGACTCGCATAGAGACACTAAGACGTACAAAGCCATACATAGACTCACATAGAGACATACTTAGCCATACATAGACTCGCATAGAGACACACTAAGACGTACAAAGCCATACATAGACTCACATAGAGACATACTGAGAGTTGGCGGAGTGTTGCCGAACCTCCTCCGTTGAAGGAGTTTACTCCGCGCTGTCCAGCGGCGATTCCAAATTAGAATCGGAGTATTTGTTTATGCTGGAGGAATCCGAAGAGCTATTAAGCTCTTCCTTCCCACGGATGGTCCGGTTAGGGGTCGCCGGGGTCAGAACGTTACAACGACAAACACCAGTGCACACACAAACAGGACGATTAGTGCAAAGTGCAAGAAAGGTAAACGGATCGTCCAAGCACGTGCAAATACAACGCCCAGCCATCCCCATCCTACCAGGCCAAAGCCCCGCTGAGGTACTAATTTATTGTTCGGAATCGACCCTGGCCACCCACAAATGGGACAGCAGCAGTTAAATCAAAGTGGAACCCATAATTTGGACATTTATAACCAGCCAGAAAATAATCGGTGTAATCTCAACGCACCTTTCTAAATTCTAAATGTGGAGTGGAGAATCCAGACTGCCACAAAAGTTCAGAATCCAGAGTCCTTTGTCCATGGACACTGGAGGAGGAATCCGGTGTGCCACGAAGCTCTGCTTCACAGACGTCCGGCGTGGGGAACGTGGGGTCGGCAAGTTTGCAGTGGCCAACCAACGGTCACGAAAGCGGCGATAGAGGGGCGCAAAAATGTAGAGAAAATGGTGAGCAAGTCGCTAAAATACGTTAAGCTAAAACTATAAACTTTTTTTTCCCGTTTGACCACTGTAACTCTTTTTCACAAGCGACCTGGCAATCGCAAATGATAGCCCAACAAAGTGGCTCATCATCATCATAGCGTTTAAATTTATCGCGGCTGCTAAATGCTCTCAACGCGCAACGTTGATTCAAAATGCGAAGGAGGAAAAGCCGGGACGACCCGGAGAAAAATCCACGCGGCCGCGGGAAACGCACCGCAGGGAATCGGGGTCGGAATGGAACCCGCGGACCTTCTGTTTACCGGGCGAGGTGGTTAACATCTCGCCGTTACAGCCTCGCAGGAGGCTGTAACTCGGAACAGCCGGCCGGCGTTGACTCGGGCGTTGGGGCGTCGACATCGCGCGAGGTGGCCTCTACCGTTGACCGTCTGTGCCACCGTTAACACGCCACCCCCCGCGCCACCGCCCACCCTCGTGAACGCCGACGCAGGCGAACGCGGCGGAGGCGAAGCAGTCCCTCGGGACCTGCAGCTCCCTGGCCGAGTTGCAGGCGAAGATTCGCAGAATCCAGCAGAAGAAGAAGCAACAGGAGGAGGAGGCGGAGCGGCGGCAGCAGCAGCCGGAACTGGAACGCAAAGCACAGGGCAACGCCGGAACACTGGCCTCCCAGCGCGGCAGGTTTGTAGCTGGAATAATGGACTGACGAATGAACACGGCACAAGGTCACGTAGCAGCAGACACGCGGGGAGACCTGTCGCCTAAAATTATGTGAACTTTTTAAAAAAATTTTAAGCCAGGTGAAGGCCCACTGGGCTATACAACGACGGCTCTTTTTTTCCCCGAAGCGAACCTGGCCATCGCAACGAGAATGCGGCCTGTCGCGTGGGACGTTTACGCCGGGCAAATACTCTGGAATGAGCGATGTTCTATACGAAACGTGGAGGTGGGGGGGGGGGGGGGAAACCGGAGGGCCCCGGGGGAAAAATCCACGCGTCCACGGGGAGAACATGCACGCCGCTTCAGGGTTGGGATCGAACCCACGACCTTCCGCATACCAGGAGAGGGAGTTAACATCTCGCTCTTTAGCAGGGGGGCGAGAGAACACACAAGCTCCACTCACTCACTGGAACAGGGAGAGATCATACAAACGCCACTCTGTCGAACAGGGTGTGAGAATACAAACTCCACTCTGTATAACGGGGAGATCATACTAACTCTACTCACTCTCTATAGAACAGGGGGAGATAATACAGAACGCCACTCACAGACTCACTCTGTGGAACAGGGGGAGATCATACAAACTCCACTCACTCTGTAGAACAGGGGGAGATCACACAAACTCCACTCTGTAGAACAGGGGGAGATCACACAAACTCCACTCACTGACTCACTCTATAGAACAGGGGGAGATCACACAAACTCCACTCACTCACTCTGTAGAACAGGGGGAGGAGATCACGCAAACTCCACTCACTCACTCTATAGAACAGGGGGAGATCACACAAACTCCACTCACTGTATAGAACAGGGGGAGGTCACACAAACTCCACTCACTGACTCACTATAGAACAGGGTGAGATCACACAAACTCCACTCACTGACTCACTATAGAACAGGGGGAGATCATACAAACACCACTCACTCATTCTGCAGACGAGGGGGTGAACACCCAAATTCCAACTCGATTGGCATCGTCGGGGTCCTCGATCGAACCAATGATCTACTGTGTACCAGGCGATGGAGATGACATCTCCTCGCCGATGTTACTGTTACTACAGTTGATGTCATCATCATCGTTGTTAACGGTGAAATGCACTTTTAAATATTAATTGAAAACTCGTTTCTTTAGAACTTCTTTTGGTGTTTAGTTTGTTGTCCTTCCCCTGCACCTCCGATTAGCGCATGTTGGCTATGTACGGTGCGACAGAAGTTTCAGCATACATCATAGACTCGCACAGAGACCCACAGACTCGCACAGAGACACACAGGCTCGCACAGAGACACACAGGCTCGCACAGAGACACACAGGCTCGCACAGAGACCCACAGACTCGCACAGAGACCCACAGACTCGCACAGAGACCCACAGACTCGCACAGAGACCCACAGACTCGCACAGAGACCTAGAGACTCACTCAGAGACCCGTAGCCTCACACAGAGACCCACAGGCTCACACAGAGACCCACAGACTCGCACAGAGACCCACAGACTCGCGCAGAGACCCACAGACTCGCGCAGAGACCCACAGACTCACACAGAGACCCATAGACTCACACAGAGACCCATAGACTCACACAGACTCGCACAGAGACCCACAGACTCGCGCAGAGACCCACAGACTCACACAGAGACCCACACAGAGACCCAGAGACTCACACAGAGACTCACACAGAGACCCAGAGACTCACACAAAGACCCACAGACTCGCCACAGAGACCCACAGACTCGCCACAGAGACCCACAGACTCGCCACAGAGACCCACGGACTCGCCACAGAGACCCACAGACTCGCCACAAAGACCCACAGACTCGCACAGAGACCCACAGACTCGCCACAGAGACCCACAGACTCGCCACAAAGACCCACGGACTCGCCACAGAGACCCACAGACTCGCCACAAAGACCCACGGACTCGCCACAGAGACCCACAGACTCGCCACAGAGACCCGCGGACTCGCCACAGAGACCCACGGACTCGCCACAGAGACGCGCAGACTCGCCACAGATACTCGCAGAATCGTCGCACAGGGACAGAGACCCGTAGTTTATTGTGCCTCGTCGTCCACCAGGGACCTGGACTCGGCGGAGCTGAAGGCGGCGGTGGAGCGAGCGCGCTCGGCCCGGGCCCTCGCCTCGCGACTTCTCGACCGCCGCTCGCTCGCCCCTCCTTCCGCTGCCCCCGCCACCCCGCCACCTTGCGTCCGTCCCCTCCAAACGACGACGCCGACCGCGCCCGGGCCCGCCCTCCGCCTCGCCCGCACCACCCCCGGCAGGTGAGCATCGGGGGCCGCCCGTGTAAGCCCTGTAACAGGCCTGTCGGGGCGAGCGGTGCTGGCGAGCAGCGGCGCCTTAATGAAGGCCGCAACGGCACGCGACGGGGTGGGTGGGTGGGCCAGCACCACGCCCGGGGGCCGCCTTCGCCTTCCCCCGGTGGCTACGTTGACGGCACTCATTTGAGGCGGAGTCGACCTCGGGGGGGGGGGGGTTGGCCCGGGACCGGTTCGGATGATCGTCGCCGGCGTTGGCCGTGAGCGGGAATCGATCTCGGGGTCGCCGGGTAGCGCTAACCGCTGCACCACCGCTCCCCCACCTCCTAACGGAGGCCACGCACACACACACACGACGGGGCGCCACGGTGGCGAGATGTTGACTGCCTCACTTGGTATAAACTGTTTAAAACAATTTTAACAGGTTAAGGGCCCACTGAGCTATATATATATACACACAGCTCTTTTTCAGAAGTGACCTGGCTATCACAAATGATGGCAGCTCAGCGAGGTTATTTTGTCACCGTCGCGTGGAAATCCACGGCAGTCGTCAATGTCGATTCTAAATGTGGAGCGAAAAATCCGGAGAACCCGGAGAAAAATCCACGCGACCAAATATACAGCAGGCGTCAGAGTCTTGATCGAACCCACGAGCTGCTGTATGCCAGGCGAGGTAGTTGACATCTCCTAGCCACCGTGATTATAAGAGAGAGAGAGAGACACCGACTCCAAATATACAGCAGCGGTCATCGTGAGGGTCGGGATCGAACCCACGAGCTGCTGTATTCCAGGCGAGGTAGTTAACATCTCCTACCCACACGCAAACTCCAAATACAGCAGCAGGAGTGAGGGTCGGGATCGAACCCACGATCTCCTGCATACCAGGCGAGGTAGTTGACATCTGCTGGCCACCGTTATTATGAGAGAGAGAGACGCCAACTCCAAATATACAACAGTAGTCATCGTGAGGGTCGGGATCGAACCCACGAGCTGCTGTATACCAGGCGAGGGAGTTGACATCTCCTAGCCACCGAGGTATACAGGAGGTCGTGGGTTCGATCCCGACCCTGACGCTCATTCACTCGCCCACCATCTCGCCAAACTCATTCACTCACCCTCTCACTATCTCGCTCACCCCTTTCACTCACTCGCCCTCGAGTATCAACTTTGAACTCGACTTGAAACGATTGCTTTGAGCGGCAATAACACCAAATCACTGGCTGCTGCTGCTGTGCTGCTGCTGCTGCTACTCTGGTGGTGCTGTGCTGCTGCTGGTGCTGCTGCTGCTGCCGTGTGTCTACTGCTGCTGTTACTGTGGCACTGCTGCTGTGCTTCTAATGCTGGCGCTGCTGTTTGCTGGCGCTGCTGTGCGCGTGCAGCGGGGAGAACGTGCCGGCGTTTGAACGCTTCCACACGCTCGCCCGGGACGTGCCTCCAGGCCTCACGCTGCCGCTCAAGGTAGTGCCCCCACTAACAACAACAACAACGTCACCACCACCAACGCCGTCACCACCATCGTCGCCACCATCACCAACATCAACATCGCCACGAACAACAACATCGCCACCACCATCACCAATAACAACCAAAACATCACCATTGCCACCAACAACATCGCCACCATCACCAACGACAATCACCATTCGTGAGTGTCACTGAGTGCGTCACTGTGTGTGAGTGAGTGTGTCACTGTGTGTGAGTGAGTGTGTCACTGCGTGTGAGTGAGTGTGTCACTGTGAGTCAGTGTGAGTGTCACTGTGTGTGAGTGAGTGTGTCACTGTGAGTCAGTGTGAGTGTGTCACTGTGAGTCAGTGTGAGTGTGTCACTGTGAGTCAGTGTGAGTGTGTCACTGTGAGTCAGTGTGAGTGTGTCACTGTGAGTCAGTGAGTGTTTCACTATGTGAGTGTGTCACGGAGTGCGTCACTGTGTGCGTCATTGAGTGTTTCTCTGTGCGAGCATGTCACGGAGTGAGCGAGTCGCTGAGTGAGCGTCACTGTGTGAGAGTGAGTGTGTCACTGTGAGTCACTGTGAGTCAGTGTGAGTGTCACTGTGTGCGTCATTGAGTGTTTTACTGTGCGAGCGTGTCACAGAGTGAGTCTGTCGCTGAGTGAGCGTCACTGGGTGAGATTGGGTGTCACTGTGAGTCAGTGTGAGTGTCACTGTGTGCGTCACTGAATGTTTTAATGTGCGAGCGTGTCACGGAGTGAGAGTGAGTCAGTCGCTGAGTGAGCGTCACTGGGTGAGGGTGAGTGTGTCACTGTGAAGTCAGTGTGTCACTGAGTCAGTGTGAGTGTCACTGTGTGCGTCATTGAGTGTTTTACTGTGTGAGCGTGTCACGGAGTGAGAGTGAGTCAGTCGCTGAGTGAGCGTCACTGGGTGAGAGTGAGTGTGTCACTGTGAGTCACTGTGAGTCAGTGTGTCACTGTGAGTCACTGTGAGTCAGTGTGTCACTGAGTCACTGTGAGTCAGTGTGAGTGTCACTGTGTGCGTCATTGAGTGTTTTACTGTGTGAGCGTCACTGTGTGAGAGTGAGTGTGTCACTGTGAGTCACTGTGAAGTCAGTGTGTCACCGAGTCACTGTGAGTCACTGTGTACGTCACTGTGTGCGTCACTGAGTGTTTCTCTGTGCGAGCGTGTCACTGAGTGAGAGTGAGTCAGTCACTGGGTGAGAGTGAGTGTGTCACTGTGAGTCACTGTGAGTCAGTGTGTCACCGAGTCACTGTGAGTCAGTGTGTGCGTCACTGTGTGCGTCACTGAGTTTCACTGTGCGAGCGAGTCACTGCGTGAGAGTGAGTGTGTCACTGTGAGTCAGTGTGAGTGTCACTGTGTGCGTCACTGAGTGTTTCTCTGTGCGAGCGAGTCACTGTGTGAGAGTGAGTGTGTCACTGTGAGTCACTGTGAGTGTCACTGTGTGCGTCACTGAGTGTTTCTCTGTGTGAGCGTGTCACTGTGTGAGAGTGAGTCAGTCGCTGAGTGAGCGTCACTGTGCGAGCGAGTCACTGTGTGAGAGTGAGTGTGTCACTGAGTCACTGTGAGTCAGTGTGAGTGTCACTGTGCGTCACTGAGTGTTTCTCTGTGCGAGCGTGTCACTGCGTGAGGGTGAGTGTGTCACTGTGAGTCACTGTGACACCGAGTCACTGTGAGTCACTGTGAGTCAGTGTGTCACCGAGTCACTGTGAGTCACTGTGTGAGTCACTGAGTGTTTCACTGTGCGAGCGTGTCACTGTGTGAGAGTGAGAGTGTCACTGTGTGAGGGTGAGTGTGTCACTGTGAGTCAGTGTGAGTGTCACTGTGTGCGTCACTGAGTGTTTCTCTGTGCGAGCGTGTCACTGCGTGAGAGTGAGTGTGTCACTGTGAGTCAGTGTGAGTCAGTGTGTCACCGAGTCACTGTGAGTCACTGAGTGTTTCTCTGTGCGAGCGTGTCACTGTGTGAGAGTGAGAGTGTCACTGTGTGAGGGTGAGTGTGTCACTGTGAGTCAGTGTGAGTGTCACTGTGTGCGTCACTGAGTGTTTCTCTGTGCGAGCGAGTCACTGTGTGAGAGTGAGTGTGTCACTGTGAGTCAGTGTGAGTCAGTGTGTCACCGAGTCACTGTGTGAGAGTGAGTGTGTCACTGTGAGTCAGTGTGAGTGTCACTGTGTGCGTCACTGAGTGTTTCTCTGTGCGAGCGTGTCACTGCGTGAGAGTGAGTGTGTCACTGTGAGTCAGTGTGAGTCAGTGTGTCACCGAGTCACTGTGAGTCACTGAGTGTTTCTCTGTGCGAGCGCGTCACTGCGTGAGAGTGAGTGTGTCACTGTGAGTCAGTGTGAGTGTCACTGTGTGCGTCACTGAGTGTTTCACTGTGCGAGCGTGTCACTGTGTGAGAGTGTCACTGCGTGAGGGTGAGTGTGTCACCGAGTATCCCTCCGCCGTGCGCGTGTAGATGACGCTGCTGGCAGAGATGTTCCGCAGCATGGACACGGTGGTGGGGATGCTCTTCAACCGCGCGGAGACCGTCACCTTCGCCAAGGTGCAGAGCGCCGTGCACGAGATGCTGCGAAGGTAAGGGGAGGAGGAGGGCGAGACGCACACGCGGGTACGTGTATCGGCGTGAGTGTGTGTGTGTGCCTGTGCGTGTGTGTATTGATGCGTGCGTGTATCGGCGTGTGTCTGTGTTTCGGTGTGTGTGTCTGTGGGTATCTGCGTGTTGATCCGTGCGTGCATGTTTGTATCGGTCTGTGTGTGTGTGTGTGTGTATCTACGTGCGTCTCTGTGTGTCTGTGTGTAGCGGTGCGTGCGTGTGTGGATCGGTTTGTTTGTGTGTGTATCTACGTGTGTGTCGGTGTGTGTGTCTGTCTGTGTGTCTGTGTGTATCTCTGTGCGTCTGTGTGTAGCGGTGCGTGCGTGTGTGCATCGGTTTGTTTGTTTGTGTGTGTATCTACGTGTGTATTGGTGTGTGTGTCTGTGGGTATCTGCGTGTTGATCGGTGCGTGCATGTTTGTATCGGTCTGTGTGTGTGTGTGTATCTACGTGCGTCTCTGTGTGTCTGTGTGTAGTGGAGCGTGCGTGCGTGTGTGCATCGGTTTGTTTGTGTGTGTGTCTATGTGTGTGTCGGTGTGTGTGTCTGTGGGTATCTGCGTGTTGATCGGTGCGTGCATATTTGTATCGGTCTGTGTGTGTGTGTATCTACGTGCGTCTCTGTGTGTAGCGGTGCGTGCGTGTGTGCATCGGTTTGTTTGTGTGTGTATCTACGTGTGTGTCGGCGTGTGTTTCTGTCTGTGTGTGTATATGTCTGTGCGTGTGTGTGTGTGCCTGTACGTCGACTCGGCCTCACATGAGTACCTGGTGCGGTGTGTAAAAACATCGCCGCTGGAGAGACAGCCGCGTCCGGGCTTGCTGCTGGCCACACCACCACCTCGTGTGCCGTGCCGGCCTTAATAGGTGCTCGCTAACAGCACTTGCCTCTACAGTCTGTTAAGGCTATACGGGGGATCTTTGTCTAATATGTAACTGTGTGTATCTGTGTGTGTGTATATGTATCTGTGTGTGTGTATATATGTAACTGTATGTCTGTCTATATATAAAAAACTAGGTGTATATATGTAACTGTGCATGTGTTTATATCCGTAACTGTGTGTGTGTTTATGTAACTGTGTGTGTGTATATGTAACTGTGTGTGTATATGTAACTGTGTGTGTGTATATGTAACTGTGTGTGTGTATATGTAAGTGTGTGTGTATATGTAAGTGTGTGTGTATATGTAACTGTGTGTGTATATGTAACTGTGTGTGTATATGTAACTGTGTGTGTATATGTAAGTGTGTGTGTATATGTAAGTGTGTTTGTATATGTAACTGTGTGTGTGTATATGTAACTGTGTGTGTGTTTATGTAACTGTGTGTGTGTATATGTAACTGTGTGTGTATATGTAACTGTGTGTGTGTATATGTAACTGTGTGTGTGTATATGTAACTGTGTGTGTGTATATGTAAGTGTGTGTGTATATGTAACTGTGTGTGTATATGTAACTGTGTGTGTATATGTAACTGTGTGTGTATATGTAAGTGTGTGTGTATATGTAAGTGTGTGTGTATATGTAACTGTGTGTGTGTATATGTAACTGTGTTTGTGTATATGTAACTGTGTGTGTGTATATGTAACTGTGTGTGTGTATATGTAACTGTGTGTGTGTATATGTAACTGTGTGTGTGTATATGTAACTGTGTGTGTGTTTATGTAACTGTGTGTGTGTTTATGTAACTGTGTGTGTTTATGTAACTGTGTTTATGTAACTGTGTGTGTGTATATGTAACTGTGTGTGTGTATATGTAACTGCGTGTGATTCAGGCGTTTTGAGGAGCGCAGTGTTGGGCAGATCCACGCTGTGTACCCAGAGGCGTATCGCTTCCGTCAGGAGAGAGCCGTAGTCGCGTGGAGCCACTCGGCCCGCCCGGGGGACTACCACCTCACCATCGAGCCCCTGCTCCCCACGGGTGAGTGCTCACCACCGTGGCTCACCACCACACTCACCACCACACTCGCCACCTGCTCACCATCAAGCCCCTCTCCTCCCCAACGGGTGGATGCTCACCAACCAAACTCACCGCCACGCTCGCCACCTAACTCGCCACTACACTCGCCAGCACACTCGCCACCCTCACTAGCAGCTCACCATGGAGGGCCCCCTCTCCTCCTCAAGGGTTGGCGCTCACCGCCACACTCACCCTCATCGCCCACCAATACCCTCGCCGCTCGCCACCCTCACCGCCCACCCACTCTCAACCGAGCATCCCCCTAGCCACCCTCTTTGGGGCTCACCTCTCACCACACCCACGGCAGCCGACCTCTGACCCTCTCCGGTGCCCCCCCCCGCCCCCCGCCGCCACTTCCAACTCCGTCCTCGCGACCCTCGACCCCACCCCCGCCGTAGGTGACACGACGCAGGGGTCGCGACCCCACCTGACGGCGGCTCGACTCCTGGAACGGCGTCGCTCGTTCCACCGCCGCCTGCTCGCCATCGTCAAGAAACATCACAAGGTGAGGCAAGGGGGGGGGGGGGGGGTCTTTCGGGTCGGGGTCAGAGGTCACACCGAGGCCCACACGAGGGGGAGATGGATAGGCGAAGGGACAGCGCTGCAATTGCCTTGACGGACTGTTGAGGCAACGGTTGCCGCTTCGGGCGGGCGGGCATGGGTTGCTGGCCACCCAACCCCCACCCCTCGTGTGCCACCGTGCTGCCTACACGCTCACAACACTTGCCACCCAACAGCCTGTTGAAAGGCTACACCAGGAGCGGGGGGGGGGGGGGCGGGATCTATGTCTTATGATTGAGTCAGGGGAGTTTGTGTGATCTCCTCCCCCTGTTCTACAGAGTGAGTGGAGTTTGTGTGATCTCCCCCTGTTCTACAGAGTGAGTGGAGTTTGTGTGATCTCCCCCCCTGTTCTACAGAGTGAGTGAGTGGAGTTTGTGTGATCTCTCTCTCTCCCCTGTTCTACAGAGTGAGTGAGTGGAGTTTGTGTGATCTCTCTCTCCCCCCTGTTCTACAGAGTGAGTGGAGTTTGTGTGATCTCTCTCTCCCCCCTGTTCTACAGAGTGAGTGAGTGGAGTTTGTGTGATCTCCTCTCCCTGTTCTACAGAGTGAGTGGAGTTTGTGTGATCTCTCTCTCTCCCCCCTGTTCTACAGAGTGAGTGAGTGGAGTTTGTGTGATCTCCTCCCCCTGTACTACAGAGTGAGAGTGAGTGGAGTTTGTGTGATCTCTCTCTCCCCCCTGTTCTACAGAGTGAGTGAGTGGAGTTTGTGTGATCTCCCCCTGTTCTACAGAGTGAGTGAGTGGAGTTTGTGTGATCTCCCCCTGTTCTACAGAGTGAGTGAGTGGAGTTTTGTGATCTCCCCCTGTTCTACAGAGTGAGTGAGTGCAGTTTGTGTGATCTCCCCCTGTTCTACAGAGTGAGTGAGTGGAGTTTGCGTGATCTCCCCCTGTTCTACAGAGTGAGTGAGTGAAGTTTGTGGTCTCCCCCTGTTCTACAGAGTGAGTGGAGTTTGTGTGATCTCCCCCTGTTCTACAGAGTGAGTGAGTGAAGTTTGTGGTCTCCCCCTGTTCTACAGAGTGAGTGGAGTTTGTGTGATCTCCCCCTGTTACACAGAGTGAGTGAAGTTTGTGGTCTCCCCCTGTTCTACAGAGTGAGTGGAGTTTGTGTGATCTCCCCCTGTTCTACATAGTGAGTGAGTGGAGTTTGTGTGATCTCTCCCCCTGTTGTACAGAGTGAGTGAGTGGAGTTTGTGTGATCTCCCCCTGTTCTACAGAGTGAGTAGAGTTTGTGTGATCTCCTCCCCCTGTTCTACAGAGTGAGTGAGTGGGTGAAGTTTGTGTGATCTCCTCCCCCTGTTCTACAGAGTGAGTGAGTGTAGTTTGTGTGATCTCCCCCCTGTTCTACAGTGTGAGTGAGTCAGTGGACCTTGTATTATCTCCCCCTGTTTTAGTAAGTGAGTGGAGTTTGTGTGATCTCCCCTTGTACTCCAGAGGGACAGTGAGCGAGTTAAATTTAATATTCTCTTCCCCTGTTCACCTGCATACCAGGCGAGGTAGTTAACATCTCGCCACCGTGGTGCCCTTGCACAGAAGTCCGTCAGATAGCGCTGAGCAGAACGGTGTAGAAAGTAGAGTAGTGGTTCTCAACCTCTTTTGGCTACTGCTGTGTTACCCCCCCCCCCGCCCTCGTTGAATGCAGTTTAAACAGAGTAAATCTTGAAAAACTACTCACTTCTAAATCTTTTGTAGTCGTCTTTGTATTACTTTAGTATAAATACGTATTGATTTTGGTGGTTTTTTTTTTCTGACTTCATGTGAACGAAAAGACACAAATTCTCCCGTTTTTCTCATTTCAAAATGGGTACATTTCAAAATACCACTGTCCCGGTCACAAAAGCAAAGTTTGTGGGGAATGATAGCCATTTTCTATACTTTTTAGGCATAAGCAATTACCAAATAACACTTTTAACTACCCAGGAGCAAAAATTGTGTTGCACAGTGTCATGATAGGCGTTTTTACCCTTTCGGGAAATTAAACAGGAATCGTGTTTAAAAAAAAAAAATGTTCAAACACCGAATGGAAGATGGCTTTTGCAAGCAATCAAGTTACTGCATTAACCACACACACAGTCCTTGTAGTGAACATGCAAGCAAGCGTGGCTCTGAAAATTCTATAATGCAATACTAGACTTGAAGCGTTCGTGACTGCAAGGATCCAAAGAGTGTGGATCCTCGCAGTCACGAAAGCATCAAAATCTAGCATCGATAACCTCTACGGGGGAGGGCTTTCACCTATCTGTTAGAGCTTTCATCAGACAACGGGACAAGAAGCCGCGGCTCATCGAGACGCGCTGACCTTCCTAAAAAGATGCCACGACAGCAAGCTTAAAGGGCGGGACCTGGGCTTGCATGTCTTCACTCCAGCGCTGTCCTCTGGACAGTCCGGTCCCCCTCGCCCGATGAAGGCCCACTCGTGTTGTGACCGAATCGTCGTGATTTTTTGTTATTTTATTTTTTACCCACGTGACTGTTACCGAATAGAACCAAAGAGCATAATGCAATAGTTGCATTTTCCTGGCGCATTTATAACCCAACCTCACGTTACCCCCCCCTCCTCCCCAGGGGGGTCTGCGTACCCCCCCCCCTTGAGAGACTGACGGGCAATGGCCACCGCCGCCGATATCAAACCTGTTTAAAGCGGCGTGGTAGCCTTTCGCAACCAATGTCGTCCATAGTAGAGGTGGTTTTGTTGTTGTTGTTGGGTCAGACCGCGTGAAAATTTCAACGTTGCACCGTTAAACCCGCCACCAGCCCGACGCGGCCAATTGGCGAAGGGTTTGTGTGCTTAGCTCTTTCGGTAAAGTCACCACCACGTTGGAAGGGAAACAATAAAATAATCAAATATCTATAAAACAATATTTTTATTATATTCTTGGTTCTTTCGGTAAAGTCACCACCACGTAGATAGGGAAACAATAAAATAATAAAAATATAAAACAATATTTTTATTATATTCTTGGTTCTTTCGGTAAAGTCACCACCACGTAGATAGGGAAACAATAAAATAATAAAAATATAAAACAATATTTTTATTATATTCTTGGTTCTTTCGGTAAAGTCACCACCACGTAGAAGGGAAACAATAAAATAATAAAACAATATTTTTATTATATTCTTGGTTCTTTCGGTAAAGTCACCACCATGTAGATAGGGAAACAATAAAATAATAAAAATATAAAACAATATTTTTATTTTATTCTTGGTTCTTTCGGTAAAGTCACCACCACGTAGAAGGGAAACAATAAAATAATTAAAATATGAAACAATATTTTTATTATATTCTTGGTTCTTTCGGTAAAGTCACCACCACGTAGAAGGGAAACAATAAAATAATAAAAATATCAAACAATGATTATTCTTGGTTCTTTGGGTAAAGTCACCACGTAGGTAGGGAAACAATAAAATAATAAAAATGTAAAACAATATTTTTATTATATGCTTGGTTCTTTCGGTAAAGTCACCACGTAGGTAGGGAAACAATAAAATAATAAAAATATAAAACAATATTTTTATTAGATTCTTGGTTCTTTCGGTAAAGTCACCACCACGTTGAAGGGAAACAATAAAGTAATAAAAATATAAAACAAAATTATTATTCTTGGTTCTTTGGGTAAAGTCACCACGTAGGTAGGGAAACAATAAAATAATAAAAATATAAAACAATATTTTTATTATATTCTTGGTTCTTTTGGTAAAGTCACCACCACGTTGGAAGGGAAACAATAAAGTAATAAAATCTATATAAAACAATGAAAAAAATTCTCACGGCGTTTCGACCGTAACACAAACGGCCGTCATCAGGGTGTGTCGGGTCGGTTACGGTCGAAACGTCGTGAGAATTTTTGTTGTATCGTTTCATATATATTTTATTTCGATTTAAAGCTTTCGTGACTGCAATGATTCATCTTCTTTGGTTCTTTCGGTAAAGTCACGTAGAATGATAATAAAATAATAAATTGATAAAATAAAATAACACAATAATATTCTCACGACGTTTCGGCCACAACACAAGCGGCCTTCTGGTAGGACAGCGCTGTCCTACCAGACAGTCTCGCCCCCTTCACCTGATGAAGGCCGCTTGTGTTGTGGCCGAAACGTCGTGAGAATATTATTGTGTTATTTTATTTTATCAATTTATTATTTTATTATCATTCTACGTGGTGACTTTACCGAAAGAACCAAAGAAGATCTTTTTTATTGTTTCCCTTCAACCGTGACGACTTCGCCCGAAAGAGCTGAGAATATGATATTGCTGCGGCCGCGAAAGCTTTGAATCAAAATTCGAAGGGGCTTGCGCCGAGCGAACAGAACGCGGCCGATTCGCGAAACCGAATCGAATCGTCCGGCGAGCTCGCGCCGCGGCCGCGTTGTCATCGTTGGTTTGCCCGCCCGCCTCCCGCAGGCCTTCCTGGAGTCGCTGTCGCCCCCCATGGCTGTGCCCGAGGATCGGCTGGCGCGCTGGCACCCGCGCTTCGACGTTGACGCAGTGCCCGACGTGACGCCGGCGCCGCTGCCCCGGCCCCCCGATGCCGAGCGCTGCACCACGGCCGGGGACGCGCTGCGGATGGCACGGGGAGGTGGGGGAGGTGGGGGAGGTGGAGGCCTCACGCCCAAGGTGAGAGCGCCGCCGTCGGGGGCCGGCCTCGTGGGGTTGGTAACCTGCGGCGTCAGTCTGTGTCTAGCTGGTTGTGTTGTGTGTGTGTCTGTCTTGTCTGTTCAGCTGTCTGTACAGCTGTCTGTGTGTCTAGCTGGTTGTGTGTGTGTGTATGTGTACATCCGTCTTGTCTGTACAGCTGTCTGTGTGTCTAGCTGGTTGTGTGTGTGTGTGTCTTTCTTGTCTGTTCAGCTGTCTGTACAGCTGTCTGTGTGTCTAGCTGGTTGTGTGTGTGTGTACATCCGTCTTGTCTGTACAGCTGTCTGTGTGTCTAGCTGGTTGTGTGTGTGTGTGTCTTTCTTGTCTGTTCAGCTGTCTGTACAGCTGTCTGTGTGTCTAGCTGGTTGTGTGTGTGTGTACATCCGTCTTGTCTGTACAGCTGTCTGTGTGTCTAGCTGGTTGTGTGTGTGTGTACATCCGTCTTGTCTGTTCAGCTGTCTGTGTGTCTTGCTGGTTGTGTGTGTACATCCGTCTTGTCTGTACAGCTGTCTGTGCGTCTAGCTGGTTGTGTGTGTGTACATCTGTCTTGTCTGTACATCTGTCTGTTCAGCTGTCTGTGTGTCTTGCTGGTTGTGTGTGTGTGTGTACATCTGTCTTGTCTGTTCAGCTGTCTGTGTGTCTAGTTGGTTGTGTGTGTGTACATCCGTCTTGTCTGTACAGCTGTCTGTGTGTCTAGCTGGTTGTGTGTGTGTGTGTACATCCGTCTTGTCTGTACAGCTGTCTGTGTGTCTAGCTGGTTGTGTGTGTGTGTACATCCGTCTTGTCTGTACAGCTGTCTGTGTGTCTAGCTGGTTGTATGTGTGTGTGTGTACATCCATCTTGTCTGTACAGCTGTCTGTGTGTCTAGCTGGTTGTGTGTGTGTGTACATCTGTCTTGTCTGTACAGCTGTCTGTGTGTCTAGCTGGTTGTGTTGTGTGTGTGTGTACATCCGTCTTGTGTGTACAGCTGTCTGTGTGTCTAGCTGGTTGTGTGTGTGTGTACATCTGTCTTGTCTGTACAGCTGTCTGTGTGTCTAGCTGGTTGTATGTGTGTGTGTGTACATCTGTCTTGTCTGTGCAACTGTCTGTGTCTAGCTGGTTGTGTGTGTGTGTACATCCGTCTTGTGTGTACAGCTGTCTGTGTGTCTAGCTGGTTGTGTGTGTGTGTGTGTGTACATCCGTCTTGTGTGTACAGCTGTCTGTGTGTCTAGCTGGTTGTGTGTGTGTGTGTGTACATCCGTCTTGTGTGTACAGCTGTCTGTGTGTCTTGCTGGTTGTGTGTGTATGTGTACATCCGTCTTGTCTGTACAGCTGTCTGTGTGTCTAGCTGGTTGTGTGTGTGTGTGTACATCTGTCTTGTCTGTACAGCTGTCTGTGTGTCTAGCTGGTTGTGTGTGTGTGTGTACATCTGTCTTGTCTGTACAGCTGTCTGTGTGTCTAGCTGGTTGTATGTGTGTGTGTGTGTACATCCATCTTGTGTGTACAGCTGTCTGTGTCTAGCTGGTTGTGTGTGTGTGTGTGTACATCCGTCTTGTGTGTACAGCTGTCTGTGTCTAGCTGGTTGTGTGTGTGTGTACATCCGTCTTGTCTGTTCAGCTGTCTGTGTGTCTAGCTGGTTGTGTTGTGTGTGTGTGTACATCCGTCTTGTGTGTACAGCTGTCTGTGTGTCTAGCTGGTTGTGTGTGTGTGTACATCTGTCTTGTCTGTACAGCTGTCTGTGTGTCTAGCTGGTTGTATGTGTGTGTGTGTACATCTGTCTTGTCTGTGCAACTGTCTGTGTCTAGCTGGTTGTGTGTGTGTGTACATCCGTCTTGTGTGTACAGCTGTCTGTGTGTCTAGCTGGTTGTGTGTGTGTGTGTGTACATCCGTCTTGTGTGTACAGCTGTCTGTGTGTCTAGCTGGTTGTGTGTGTGTGTGTGTACATCCGTCTTGTGTGTACAGCTGTCTGTGTGTCTTGCTGGTTGTGTGTGTATGTGTACATCCGTCTTGTCTGTACAGCTGTCTGTGTGTCTAGCTGGTTGTGTGTGTGTGTGTACATCTGTCTTGTCTGTACAGCTGTCTGTGTGTCTAGCTGGTTGTGTGTGTGTGTGTACATCTGTCTTGTCTGTACAGCTGTCTGTGTGTCTAGCTGGTTGTATGTGTGTGTGTGTGTACATCCATCTTGTGTGTACAGCTGTCTGTGTCTAGCTGGTTGTGTGTGTGTGTGTGTACATCCGTCTTGTGTGTACAGCTGTCTGTGTCTAGCTGGTTGTGTGTGTGTGTACATCCGTCTTGTCTGTTCAGCTGTCTGTGTGTCTAGCTGGTTGTGTTGTGTGTGTGTGTACATCCGTCTTGTCTGTACAGCTGTCTGTGTGTCTAGCTGGTTGTGTGTGTACACCTGTCTTGTCTGTACAGCTGTCTGTACAGCTGTCTGTGTGTCTAGCTGGTTGTGTGTGTGTACATCCATCTTGTCTGTACAGCTGTCTGTGTGTCTAGCTGGTTGTGTGTGTGTGTGTGTACATCCGTCTTGTCTGTACAGCTGTCTGTGTGTCTAGCTGGTTGTGTGTGTGTGTACATCTGTCTTGTCTGTACAGCTGTCTGTGTGTCTAGCTGGTTGTGTGTGTGTACATCTGTCTTGTGTGTACAGCTGTCTGTGTCTAGCTGGTTGTGTGTGTGTGTGTACATCCGTCTTGTCTGTACAGCTGTCTGTGTGTCTAGCTGGTTGTGTGTGTGTGTACATCCATCTTGTCTGTACAGCTGTCTGTGTGTCTAGCTGGTTGTGTGTGTGTGTGTACATCTGTCTTGTCTGTACAGCTGTCTGTGTGTCTAGCTGGTTGTGTGTGTGTGTACATCCGTCTTGTCTGTTCAGCTGTCTGTGTGTCTAGCTGGTTGTGTGTGTGTGTACATCCGTCTTGTCTGTACAGCTGTCTGTGTGTCTAGCTGGTTGTGTGTGTGTGTGTACATCTGTCTTGTCTGTACAGCTGTCTGTGTGTCTAGCTGGTTGTGTGTGTGTGTGTGTGTACATCTGTCTTGTCTGTACAGCTGTCTGTGTGTCTAGCTGGTTGTGTGTGTGTATATCCGTCTTGTCTGTACAGCTGTCTGTGTGTCTAGCTGGTTGTGTTGTGTGTGTGTGTACATCTGTCTTGTCTGTTCAGCTGTCTGTGTGTCTAGCTGGTTGTGTGTGTGTGTGTACATCCGTCTTGTCTGTTCAGCTGTCTGTGTGTCTAGCTGGTTGTGTGTGTGTACATCTGTCTTGTCTGTACAGCTGTCTGTGTATCTAGCTGGTTGTATGTGTGTGTACATCTGTCTTGTCTCTACATCTGTCTGTGTGTCTAGCTGGTTGTGTGTGTGTGTGTACATCCGTCTTGTCTGTACAGCTGTCTGTGTGTCTAGCTGGTTGTGTGTGTGTGTACATCTGTCTTGTCTGTACAGCTGTCTGTGTGTCTAGCTGGTTGTGTGTGTGTGTGTACATCCGTCTTGTCTGTACAGCTGTCTGTGTGTCTTGCTGGTTGTGTGTGTGTGTGTACATCCGTCTTGTCTGTTCAGCTGTCTGTGTGTCTAGCTGGTTGTGTGTGTGTACATCCGTCTTGTCTGTACAGCTGTCTGTGTGTCTAGCTGGTTGTATGTGTGTGTACATCCGTCTTGTCTGTACAGCTGTCTGTGTGTCTAGCTGGTTGTGTGTGTGTGTGTACATCCGTCTTGTCTGTACAGCTGTCTGTGTGTCTAGCTGGTTGTGTGTGTGTGTACATCCGTCTTGTCTGTACAGCTGTCTGTGTGTCTTGCTGGTTGTGTGTGTGTACATCTGTCTTGTCTGTACAGCTGTCTGTGTGTCTTGCTGGTTGTGTGTGTGTACATCTGTCTTGTCTGTACAGCTGTCTGTGTGTCTTGCTGGTTGTGTGTGTGTGTGTACATCTGTCTTGTCTGTTCAGCTGTCTGTGTGTCTTGCTGGTTGTGTGTGTGTGTGTACATCTGTCTTGTCTGTTCAGCTGTCTGTGTGTCTTGCTGGTTGTATGTGTGTGTGTACATCCGTCTTGTCTGTACAGCTGTCTGTGTGTCTAGCTGGTTGTGTGTGTGTACATCTGTCTTGTCTGTACATCTGTCTGTTCAGCTGTCTGTGTGTCGAGCTGGTTGTGTGTGTGTGTACATCCGTCTTGTCTGTACAGCTGTCTGTGTGTCTAGCTGGTTGTATGTGTGTGTACATCTGTCTTGTCTGTACATCTGTCTGTGTCTAGCTGGTTGTGTGTGTGTGTACATCCGTCTTGTCTGTACAGCTGTCTGTGTGTCTAGCTGGTTGTGTGTGTGTACATCTGTCTTGTCTGTACAGCTGTCTGTGTGTCTAGCTGGTTGTGTGTGTGTGTGTACATCTGTCTTGTCTGTTCAGCTGTCTGTACAGCTGTCTGTGTGTCTTGCTGGTTGTGTGTGTGTACATCCGTCTTGTCTGTACAGCTGTCTGTGTGTCTAGCTGGTTGTGTGTGTGTACATCTGTCTTGTCTGTACAGCTGTCTGTGTGTCTAGCTGGTTGTGTGTGTGTGTACATCCGTCTTGTCTGTACAGCTGTCTGTGTGTCTTGCTGGTTGTGTGTGTGTGTACATCCGTCTTGTCTGTTCAGCTGTCTGTGTGTCTAGCTGGTTGTGTGTGTGTACATCCGTCTTGTCTGTACAGCTGTCTGTGTGTCTAGCTGGTTGTATGTGTGTGTACATCCGTCTTGTCTGTACAGCTGTCTGTGTGTCTAGCTGGTTGTGTGTGTGTGTGTGTACATCCGTCTTGTCTGTACAGCTGTCTGTGTGTCTAGCTGGTTGTGTGTGTGTGTACATCCGTCTTGTCTGTACAGCTGTCTGTGTGTCTTGCTGGTTGTGTGTGTGTACATCTGTCTTGTCTGTACAGCTGTCTGTGTGTCTTGCTGGTTGTGTGTGTGTACATCTGTCTTGTCTGTACAGCTGTCTGTGTGTCTTGCTGGTTGTGTGTGTGTGTGTACATCTGTCTTGTCTGTTCAGCTGTCTGTGTGTCTTGCTGGTTGTGTGTGTGTGTACATCTGTCTTGTCTGTTCAGCTGTCTGTGTGTCTTGCTGGTTGTATGTGTGTGTGTACATCCGTCTTGTCTGTACAGCTGTCTGTGTGTCTAGCTGGTTGTGTGTGTGTACATCTGTCTTGTCTGTACATCTGTCTGTTCAGCTGTCTGTGTGTCGAGCTGGTTGTGTGTGTGTGTACATCCGTCTTGTCTGTTCAGCTGTCTGTGTGTCTAGCTGGTTGTGTGTGTGTACATCCGTCTTGTCTGTACAGCTGTCTGTGTGTCTAGCTGGTTGTGTGTGTACATCTGTCTTGTCTGTACAGCTGTCTGTGTGTCTAGCTGGTTGTGTGTGTGTGTGTGTACATCCGTCTTGTCTGTACAGCTGTCTGTGTGTCTAGCTGGTTGTGTGTGTGTACATCTGTCTTGTCTGTACAGCTGTCTGTGTCTAGCTGGTTGTGTGTATGTGTACATCTGTCTTGTCTGTACATCTGTCTGTTCAGCTGTCTGTGTGTCTAGCTGGTTGTGTGTGTGTGTGTACATCTGTTGTGTCTGTACAGCTGTCTGTGTCTAGCTGGTTGTGTGTGTGTACATCTGTCTTGTCTGTACATCTGTCTGTTCAGCTGTCTGTTCAGCTGTCTGTTCAGCTGTCTGACAGACAGCTGTCTGTGTGTCTTGCTGGTTGTGTGTTTGTGTACATCCGTCTTGTCTGTTCAGCTGTCTGTACAGCTGTCTGTTCAGCTGTCTGTGTGTCTAGCTGGTTGTGTGTGTGTGTGTACATCTGTCTTGTCTCTACATCTGTCTTTTCAGCTCTCTGTGTGTATAGCTGGTTGTGTGTGTGTGTACATCTGTCTTGTCTCTACATCTGTCTGTTCAGCTGTCTGACAGCTGTCTGTTCAGCTGTCTGTGTGTGTAGCTGGTTGTTTGTGTGTACATCCGTCTTGTCTGTACATCTGTCTGTAATCTGTCTAGCTGGTTATGTGTGTGTACATCTGTCTTGTCTGTACATCTGTCTGTGTGTCTAGCTGGTTGTGTGTGTGTACATCTGTCTTGTCTGTTCAGCTGTCTGTGTGTCTAGCTGGTTGTGTGTGTGTACATCCGTCTTGTCTGTACATGTCTGTAATCTGTCTAGCTGGTTATGTGTGTGTACATCTGTCTTGTCTGTCTAACTGTCTGTGTCTAGCTGATTGTGTGTACATCTGTCTGTCTAACTGTCTGTGTGTCTAGCTGATTGTGTGTGTACATCTGTCTGTCTATTTGTCTGTGTGTTTAGCTGGTTGTGTGTGTGTACATCTGTCCTGTCTGTTCAGCTGCCTGATTGTACGTCTTTCTGTCTTTCTGTCCATCCATCCATCCGCCTGCCTGCCTTGCCTGCCTGTGAGCTTTTCTGTCTGTGTAACTGACGAGCCGCTTAGGTTGCCCCGCTATCATTTGCGGTGGCGAGGTCTCTCCAGTGGGCCTTTACCCAGGTGAAATAATAAACTCCTTAAAAAAATACGTTTTTTTACACATATATATAAAACAACGGTTTTATTAACAACTTAGTTTAACTTGCCGTCTTTGAGAAGTTAAGCCGATGGTGCCTGAGGCACGCGGCGCGTGCGTTTTGCGCGAGCAGATTCCGCAGCTTTGGGAAAGCGGCGTTTCTGACCTGCACGAAAATATACAATCAATAAGCCGTCCGTAGCAAAATGTGAATTGCTTTAAAGTAGCGAATCAGTTGATTAATTGATGCCGATTTTGATGCAGGCATGCGTTGCCACCGGATCTTGAGTACGCGTGCAACATTTGGAATTGATTGGACAACCAAGGAAGTACAGTAAAACCTTGGATTTGCTAAGCATAATTGCATTCCGGAAACGTGTTTGTAATCCAAAGCACTCGTATATCAAAGCACTCGTACATCAGCTGTGATCACGTGTACAAAGTGTACACGTACTGCTACTCGTATTATTTTTTTACCTACGTGATTTTTCTCGAATAGAACCAAAGATTCTATCTTAGCAATCATTGGAAAGATTTGATAAACCATTTCAGGTCTTAATTGATTGTTCACGCTTACAGTGGCTTTCAGACAGCATACATTATAAAAAATTTCGTCTCCCCCCTCCTCTTTTCAGAATATAGATGGACTAGTCCTGGGTAAACTGCCAAATCGTTGCGCGTGGCGCTAACGTTTTTTATAAATAAATAAATGCGCCGTTTAAAAATTAATTTATGCGAACCAACACACCTGAAGACGACCGTTTGAGTTATGGTCGAAACGTGAGAATTTTTTATTGTTTTATATATATTTTATTATTTTGTTGTTTCTCTTCAACGTGACTTTACCGAAAAAACTAAGAATATAATATAACCAAAGAGTATGGATCCTTGCAGTCACGAGAGCTTCAAATCTAGAACTACTGGTATTGCTAGACCCTCGCTCGTTCATCAAATTAATATTTATTTTTAAAAATGTTGCTGCTCTTGCAAAACGCTCGCGGACCCAAGTTTACTCGCAATCCAGGGTTTTACTGCAGTCTGAATTTCGATTACGAGATTTGACCACGACACAGGGGTGGATACTCTTGGGTTCTTTCGGTAAAGTAACGTAGGTATTTTAAATAAAACAAATCGCGGCGTTTCGATTGCAACACAAGCAATCGTCATCAGGTGGGGAAAACCACGGCAAGAGGGAAAAAAATGTTGTCGCTTCAGCAAACAAAAAAAACAAATTCTTGCTGTGGTTTTCCCACGGGTGTCAAGTTAAGCATATTTTATATTTTTGCTATTTTATTGTTTCCCTGTCTACGTGGCGGTGACATTACCGAAAGAACCAAGAATATTTGAATCCCTGCAGTCACGAAAGCTTTAAGCCAAAATTGAAGTAATACCGTGGAAAATTTAGTTTATCACAACCGCGTCAACCCATTCGGTGTTTGCACCGTATTCTTGTACGGGATAATTGGGTTGTCAGGGCCATGCGGCGTTACAGCCCTTTCAATATGGGACTTTGTAGGATGAACGTTGAGATTTATAAGAGCACGGGGTGACCAATAACTTCTGAATTGGTCTGTAATAAGATAAGGGCACTGATAAGGGGTTGACAGGTATGGTATAGTGTAGTGTATCATTTAGTGTATAACAGTGCAGTTGTGTAGTAATGTAGTGTATTGTAGTGTAGTGTATGTTATAGTAGTGCACTGTGTAGTAATGTAGTGTATAGTAGTGTGGTGTCTGAATTGGTCTGCAAAAAGGTCGACACTGATTTAGGGGGTTGACGGGTATGGTATAGTGTAGTGTATCATGTAGTGTATAGCAGTGCAGTGTGTAGTAATGTAGTGTGTAGTAGTGTATTGTATAGTAGTGTAGTAATGTAGTGTATAGTAGTGTGGTGTCTGAATTGGTCTGCAAAAAGGTCGACACTCATTAGGGGGTTGACGAGTATGGTATTGTGTAGTGTATCATGTAGTGTATAGCAGTGCAGTGTGTAGTAATGTAGTGTATAGTAGTGTATTGTATAGTAGTGTAGTAATGTAGTGTATAGTAGTGTGGTGTCTGAATTGGTCTGCAAAAAGGTCGACACTCATTAGGGGGTTGACGGGTATGGTATTGTGTAGTGTATCATGTAGTGTATAGCAGTGCAGTGTGTAGTAATGTAGTGTATAGTAGTGTATTGTATAGTAGTGTAGTAATGTAGTGTGTAGTAGTGTGGTGTCTAAATTGGTCTGCAAAAAGGTCGACACTGATTTAAGGTTGACGGGTATGGTATTGTGTAGTGTATCATGTAGTGTATAGCAGTGCAGTGTGTAGTAATGTAGTGTATAGTAGTGTATTGTATAGTAGTGTAGTAATGTAGTGTATAGTAGTGTGGTGTCTGAATTGGTCTGCAAAAAGGTCGACACTGATTTAGGGCGTTGACGGGTATGGTTTATAGAGTTACTTGATCGTTCAGAGCGGAGGCGCGAGTTTTTTGCCGAAGGTGTTTGTTGACGGGCGTCGCCAGATGGAGAAGGCGCTGGCCAACGTGGCCCTCAAGTCCTCGGGCGCCACGCCGGGAGATAGGACGACCGCACAGACGGAGAACCGGGCGGAGGCGGAGGCAACGCCGGGACCGGCGGCGACCCTCAGCCCGGCACTGAAGGGGATCTCGCAGTCACTGATCGACAGGGTGAGTGTGGGTGGGTGGGTGGGTGAAAGAGAGGTTAGTGTGGGAGTGAGAGGGGTGGGTTGGTGGGTGAGTGAGAGGGTGGGCGAGTGAGAGGGTGGGTGGGTGGGCGGGTGAGTGAGTGGATGAGTGAGAGGGTGGGTGAGTGGATGAGTGAGAGGGTGGGTGAGTGAGTGAGTGGGTGGGTGAGTAAGTAAGTGAGTGGGTGGGTGAGAGAGTGGATGGGTGGGTGAGTGGATGGGTGAGTGAGAGGGTGGGTGGGTGAGTGAGTGGGTGGGTGGGTGGGTGAGTGAGAGGGTCGGTGAGAGCGTTTCACACTTCACGCGATGACCTCGAGGTGCACCTAGCCTGGCACTGCCACCTAGTGGCAAATGGCAGGTGATGTTGCTGTTGTCAATGGTGGTGCAAAACAACCCCCTCCCTCCTCGCGGTGCCGGACGGGCAACTCTGTCGTGGACAGTGCTGTGGGGGGAGATCCAATTTTGATTGGCTCCTCCCCTCATGGCATATGTGTCCACCACAGGGGCTAAACGGGGGCTCTGGACGGGTGCGAGGGGCTGGTAACCCCTCCACCTTCAATTAATTACCACGAAACTACGAGTTAAACTGAAATATGTACCTAATAAGCTTGTGCCGTAGGCCCCGGGGGGCCAGACGTCTATGATGTCTCCTGGCCAAACCCCAATTGGCAGAGCCAGGAGATTGAATATCTACCCTCGGGGCTCCTCCAGAAACAACGAAAAGCCACTACTACGGGTGGCCATGTGGAATGTTCGAACGCTCACTGCGGAGGAGAGGCTGCCACTCTGTCGGGAGCTGGACCGGTACCGCCTGGATCTCTGTGGCATTCAGGAGGTCCGGTGGACCGGCTCTGTCTCCTGCCACCATGAGGGGTGGACAGTTCTCTACTCGGGGCAGCAGACTGCCAAACAACAGGGTGTGGCTCTTCTTTTGAACAAAAGAATGAAGGGGGCGTGGGAGCGTGGCAGTGAGGTGTGGGAAGCTCTAAGCCCCAGGCTACTTTGGGCTCGCCTTCCCATCAACCGGAGGCGAGGAATGGTGGTCGTGGTTACTTATGCCCCCACCGAAGATGAACATCCGTGGAGGGATGCAGGCAAAGCCGATGAGTCAGATGCCTTCTATGACCTGTCACAGGTGCTGGCTAAAGTGGCCCCTCGGGATAGAGTCATCATGTTGGGTGACTTCAATGCCCGAGTTGGTCATGATACTGGCACCTGGTCTGGAGTGATTGGAGGGCATGGGCCAGATCAGCTCAATAACAACGGTAGGAGGCTGCTAGATTTTTGTGCAGCCCATGGGCTTGTAATTACCAACACGCTGTTCCGGCATCGGCACATCCACACAACATCATGGATGCATGCCGGGTCCAAGCAAGAACATCTGCTGGACTACATAGTGACGGACCAGCGGATGCGAGCCCATGTCCTTGACACCAGGACCTACCGTGGAGCTGATCTGCCCTCTGACCATCGACTAGTCATTTGTAAGATGCGCCTGCCATTCTTCCACTCCGGTGGTGGGTGTACACCCAGGACCCCATTCCAACCTAAAGTGGCCTGGTCTCAGTTATCTGATGAAAGTTGCAAGTTAGAATTTCATCATCGCTTGCGGCTGGGATTGGCATCGTCCCCGACTCTTCCTGATGTCGAGGGTAAATGGGCGAGGTTTAGGACTGTGGCTCATGCAGCTGCAATGGCTGCTTTGGGTACGCGGTCCAGACCTCCCCAGAGACCCTGGCTGACAGAGGTGTTCAGGATGGTTGAGAAAAAGCGAAAGGCCCACTGTCATCGGCTACAGAATCCCACGTCAGAGAATGAGGAGGCTTACCGCAGCCTTCGCTCGGAGGTTCGGAGAGCCGTGAGGCGCTGCAAGGATGGGTGGTGGTCGCGGGTTGCTGAGGAGATGGAGTCTGCCTCAGTGGCCCGTGATCACAAATCTCTATTTAACTCCATCAAAAAAGGTACCTGCAGCGCCACACCTATTACCATCATTAGGGGAAAAAATGGTGATCCAATCTCCGACCCCCAGGAACAGGTTTGCAGATTTGCTGAGCATTTCTGTGAGGTCCTGGGGAAGGGAAATCCCTCAGCCAGGAAAACATCGTGGCACAAAGTGAGGATGACCCTGCTGTGGCTGCGGTGCCTCAAATATTGGAAGAAGTCACCCCCTGTGAGTGGCTGGCTGAGGTGCCATCTGTTGAGGAAGTACTGAAGGCGATCCGGAGTCTGAGACCAGGAAAGGCAGCGGGCAGAGATGATCTCCCAAGCGAAATGGTGAGGGAGGGTGGCGTTTGTGCACAGACTGCCCTATATGACATAACAACGGTCTGGACCACTGGACGGGTTCCGCAGGATTGGAAGGATGCCTTGGTGGTCCCCCTTTTTAAGAAGGGGGACCGCACAGACTGTAACAACAACTGCAGGGGCATCTCACTCCTCAGTGTGCCGGGAAAGGTCCTGGCAAGGATTATTCAGCATCGCCTTGCCAGGCACGTTGAGGAGAGGCTTGCGGAGCCCCAATGCGGTTTCAGGAAAGGGCGGTTCTGCACAGATGCCATATTTTCTGTCCGTCTGCTACAGCAGAGGTGTAGGGAATTCCAACAAGACCTACATCTCTGCTTTATTGACCTGGTCAAGGCCTATGATACCATCAGTAGGCCTGGGCTCTGGGTTGTTCTTCGTGCTTTTGGAGTACCTGACCCTCTGCTCACGATCATTAAGGACCTTCATGATGGTGAGCGGGCCCGGGTAAAACTACGTGGCCGGGAGTCAGAGCCATTCTCTGTACACCTTGGGGTGCGACAGGGATGTCCTCTGGCTCCCAAATTATTTAACATCTATTTTGACCACGTAGTTCGTGATGCCTTCAATAGCTATACCGGGGGAATCTCCATATGGTACAGATATAATGGGAGGCTGATCGATGCCCGGGTGCGGTCAAGGGATGGCTCCCTATTGCTCAACCACGTTATGTATGCCGATGATTTGGTAATAGCTGCTCAGTCAGAGGAGGAGTTGGAGACGCTGCTGCTGCTGAGACTGGAGCGTGCCACTAAGAGGTGGGGCCTTACCATCAGCCCCACCAAAACTAAGCACCTGCCTGGGTATTTTGTACTATCGGACACTCCACCCCCACAACTCCCAATCGGTGATGGGGCAGTTGTGGAGAGAGTGGAGAGTTTCCCATACCTGGGCAGTGTGCTTATGACTGGCTCCAGTTTAACAGCAGAGGTCTCACTCCGAATCAGTTGAGCGGCAATATCTTTTCATCGGTTGCGTAACGCTGTGTGGAAGCTACCTGGTCTGTCGCTCCGCAGTAAGCTTCAGGTCTTCTCGGCCACGGTCATTCCCTCCCTTCTCTACACTTGCGAACGTGGACCCCCCTAATGTAACATCTTCGCCGGTTAGAAACATTTAGGCTGGCCTGCCTACGATCCATCCTGGGTTTAACCAGACTGGATTGTGTGAGGAGCTCACAAATCCTTGAAAGATCTGGGCAAGGTCCCATCGGTGAGCTCCTCCGGTGGGCAAGGCTGCGTTGGCTGGGCCATGTAGCCCGCATGCCCAGCCACCGCATGCCGAAACAGCTTTTGTTCGGCCGGATCGAGGGGGCTAAGCGGGCGCGGCACGGGCTAGAGAAGAGATGCAGTGACGTGGTACAGGAGGACGTGGAGCTGAGTGGACTTGCCGATGACCGGTACCAGCGGTGTCAAGATCGGCCTCTGTGGAGGAGGCTCGTGAAGGATGCTACTGGGCAGTTGGAGGCAGTCGCCCTCCAACAACAACGGAGGGCGGAGGAGCGACGCTCACAACAACGAGCGGAGCGCCGGGTGGCTAAAGCACAGCAGGTTGGCACAGTAGGGGGCACAGGTGGTGCATCAGCCAGTCATCTCAGTCATCTCAGTCAGTCGACCCGTGGCACCTGGGTCTGCCCCGTGACCTCCTGCCAGCGGGCGTTCGACACTTCACGTGGCCTCAAGGTGCACATGGTCTGGCACAAGCGTCGTGGTGACGTCACCGCCACTTAGTGGCGAATGGCGGTTGTTGTTGTTGGTGCATTGAACGTTCATGTGCCTTTCTACTTTTCCTTTATTCCTCTGCCCTGTTCCTCTCTCTCCCTCTGCACCCCCCCCCCCACCTCTCTCTCCCCCTCTGTCCCTCTCTCTCGCTCTCTTCCTCCCTCGCGCTCTCTGTCGCTCTCTCTCCCCTCTCTCTCCCCCCCTCCCTCCCTCTTTCTCCCCCCCCCCCTCGTCTCCTCCCCCTCTCTCCCTCCTCTTTCTGTCTCTCTCTCTCTCTCCCCCTCTCTCTCCCCCTCTCTCTCCCCTCTCTCTCCCCCTCTCTCTCGCCCTCTCTCCCCCTCTCTCTCCCCCTCTCTCTCGCCCTCTCTCCCCCTCTCTCTCCCCTCTCTCTTTCCCCCTCCCTCCCTCTCTCTCTCCCCCTCTCCTGTCCCTCTCTCCGTCCCTCCCTCCCCCTCTCTCTCCGTCCCTCTCTCTCTCCCCCCCCTCCCTCCCTCTCTCTCCCCCCTCTCTATTTCCCTCTCTCTTCCCCCCTCCCTCTCTCTCTGTCCCTCTCCCTCTCTCTCCCCCCCTCCCCTGTCCCTCTCTCTCCCCCCCTCCCTCCCTCTCTCTCCGTCCCTCTCTCCGTCCCTCCCTCCCTCTCTCTCTCCGTCCCTCTCTCTCTCCCCCCCCTCCCTCCCTTTCTCTCCTCCCTCTCTCTTTCCCTCTCTCTTCCCACCTCCCTCCCTCTCTCTCCCCTCTCTCTCTGTCCCTCTCTCTCCCTCCCTCCCTCTCTCTCCCTCCCTCCCTCCCTCTCTCTCCCCCCTCTCTCTCTGTCCCTCTCTCTCCCTCCCTCCCCCTCTCTCTCCCCCCTCTCTCCGCCCTCTCTCCCTCCGCCCACCCCCATCTCTCCACCACAAGGTGCGTGCCCGCGAGGCCGCTCGCGCCGCCGCCTCCATGCAGCGCGACGCCGGGGCGCAGGAGCGAGCGGGCCGCCTGCGGAGCCTGCCGGCGGTGGCACGGACCCTGCGCGGGGTCTTCCTGGCCGAGCGGCGCCCGGCGCTGCCCATGGAGCTCGCCTGCTCGCGCCTCGTCCAGAGCTGTGGCCTTGGCACCACCGCCGGTGCGTCCTCTCTCTCTCTGTGTGTGTGTGTGTGCTCGCTAACAGCACTTGCCCCCTACAGTCTATTAAGGCTATATGGGGGGGTCTTTGTCTTTGTGTGTGTGGGGAGCGGTAGTGTAGCGGTTAGCGCGCTGTGCTACGAACCCGGCGAGCCGGGGTTCGATTCCCGCTCACGGCCAACACCACCGGTGACGATTGTCGTAACCGGTACCGGGCCTCCCCTAGGTCGACTCAGCCTCAAATGAGTAACCTGGTGCGGTGTGTAAACATTGCCACTAGGGGAGACAAAGGCGGTCGGGCGTGGTGCTGGCCACCCACCCCCTCGTGTACCGTTCCGGCCTTCATAGGTGCTCGCTAACAGCACTTGCCCCCTACAGTCTATTAAGGCTATATGGGGGGGTCTTTGTCTTTGTGTGTGTGGGGAGCGGTAGTGTAGTGTAGCGGGTTAGCGCTACGCTGCTGTGCTATGAACCTGGCGAGCCGGGGTTCGATTCCCGCTCACGGCCAACACCACCGGTGACGATTGTCGTAACCGGTACCGGGCCTCCCCTAGGTCGACTCAGCCTCAAATGAGTAACCTGGTGCGGTGTGTAGTAAACATTGCCACTAGGGAGACAAAGGCGGTCGGGCGTGGTGCTGGCCACCCACCCCCTCGTGTACCGTTCCGGCCTTCATAGGTGCTCGCTAACAGCACTTGCCCCCTACAGTCTATCAAGGCTATATGGGGGGATCTTTGTCTTTGTGTGTGTGGGGAGCGGTAGTGTAGTGTAGTGTAGCGGGTTAGCGCTACGCTGCTGTGCTATGAACCTGGCGAGCCGGGGTTCGATTCCCGCTCACGGCCAACACCACCGGTGACGATTATCTGAACCGGTACCGGGCCTCCCCTAGGTCGACTCAGCCTCAAATGAGTAACCTGGTGCGGTGTGTAGTAAACATTGCCACTGGGGAGACAAAGGCGGTCGAGCGTGGTGCTGGCCACCCACCCCCTCGTGTACCGTTCCGGCCTTCATAGGTGCTCGCTAACAGCACTTGCCCCCTACAGTCTATTAAGGCTATATGGGGGGATCTTTGTCTTTGTGTGTCTGTAGGTCCCTTCGGCATAAGTCTATGGGTCCCTACTCGTGTGATGAGTGTGGGTCTTGATTTGAAGCTTTCGCGGGCGCCGCGTTGCGACCCGAAACGTCGTGATTTATTTTATTTTGTGCCTACGTGACTTTACCGAAAGAAGCAAAGAGTATTAGTTTGGGTCTCTGCTGTGTGATGAGTCTGTGGGTTTCTGTATGAGGAGCCTATGGGTTTCTGTATGAGGAGTCTATGGGCCTCTTTGAGTCTATGGGGGTCTCTGTCGTGTGGTGAGTCTATGGGGTCTCTACCGTGTGGTGAGACTATGGGGGTCTCTACCGTGTGGTGAGTCTATGGGGTCTCTGTCGTGTGGTGAGTCTATGGGGGTCTCTGTCGTGTGGTGAGTCTATGGGGGTCTCTGTCGTGTGGTGAGTCTATGGGGTTCTCTACCGTGTGGTGAGTCTATGGGGTTCTCTACCGTGTGGTGAGTCTGTGGGGTCTCTACCGTGTGGTGAGTCTATGGGGCTATCTACCGCGTGGTGAGTCTATGGGGGTCTCTGTCGTGTGGTGAGTCTATGGGGGGTCTCTACCGTGTGGTGAGTCTATGGGGCTATCTACCGCGTGGTGAGTCTATGGGGGTCTCTGTCGTGTGGTGAGTCTATGGGGGGTCTCTACCGTGTGGTGAGTCTATGGGGGTCTCTACCGCGTGGTGAGTCTATGGGGGTCTCTACCGTGTGGTGAGTCTATGGGGTTCTCTACCGTGTGGTGAGTCTATGGGGGGTCTCTGTCGTGTGGTGAGTCTATGGGGTTCTCTACCGTGTGGTGAGTCTATGGGGTTCTCTACCGTGTGGTGAGTCTATGGGGTTCTCTACCGCGTGGTGAGTCTATGGGGGTCTCTACCGTGTGGTGAGTCTATGGGGGTTCTCTACCGTGTGGTGAGTCTATGGGGTTCTCTACCGTGTGGTGAGACTATGGGGGTCTCTACCGTGTGGTGAGTCTATGGGGGTCTCTACCGTGTGGTGAGTTTATGAGGTTCTCTACCGTGTAGTGAGTCTATGGGGGTCTCTACCGTGTGGTGAGTCTATGGGGTTCTCTACCGTGTGGTGAGTCTATGGGGGTTCTCTACCGTGTGGTGAGTCTATGGGGGTTCTCTACCGCGTGGTGAGTCTATGGGGGTTCTCTACCGCGTGGTGAGTCTATGGGGGTTCTCCACCGCGTGGTGAGTCTATGGGGGTTCTCTACCGCGTGGTGAGTCTATGGGGGTTCTCTACCGTGTGGTGAGTCTATGGGGTTCTCTACCGCGTGGTGAGTCTATGGGGGGTCTCTGTCGTGTAGTGAGTCTATGGGGGTTCTCTACCGCGTGGTGAGTCTATGGGGGTTCTCTACCGTGTGGTGAGTCTATGGGGGTTCTCTACCGCGTGGTGAGTCTATGGGGGTCTCTACCGTGTGGTGAGTCTATGGGGTTCTCTACCGTGTGGTGAGTCTATGGGGTTCTCTACCGTATGGTGAGTCTATGGGGGTCTCTGTCATGTGGTGAGACTATGGGGGTCTCTACCGCGTGGTGAGTCTATGGGGTTCTCTGTCGTGTGGTGAGTCTATGGGGGATCTTTACCGTGTGGTGAGTCTATGGGGGTCTCTGTGGTGAGTCTATGGGGTTCTCTACCGCGTGGTGAGTCTATGGGGGTCTCTACCGCGTGGTGAGTCTATGGGGGTCTCTACCGCGTGGTGAGTCTATGGGGGTCTCTACCGTGTGGTGAGTCTATGGGGGTTCTCTACCGCGTGGTGAGTCTATGGGGGTTCTCTACCGCGTGGTGAGTCTATGGGGGTTCTCTACCGTGTGGTGAGTCCATGGGGGTTCTCTACCGCGTGGTGAGTCTATGGGGGTTCTCTACCGCGTGGTGCGTCTATGGGGGGTCTCTACCGTGTGGTGAGTCTATGGGGGTCTCTACCGTGTGGTGAGTCTATGGGGGTCTCTACCGTGTGGTGAGTCTATGGGGGTCTCTACCATGTGGTGAGTCTATGGGGTCTCTACCGTGTGGTGAGTCTATGAGGTTCTCTACCGTGTGGTGAGTCTATGGGGTTCTCTACCGTGTGGTGAGTCTATGGGGGTTCTCTACCGTGTGGTGAGTCTATGGGGGTTCTCTACCGTGTGGTGAGTCCATGGGGGTTCTCTACCGCGTGGTGAGTCTATGGGGGTTCTCTACCGTGTGGTGAGTCTATGGGGTTCTCTACCGCGTGGTGCGTCTATGGGGGTCTCTACCGTGTGGTGAGTCTATGGGGGTCTCTACCGTGTGGTGAGTCTATGGGATTCTCTACCGTGTGGTGAGTCTATGGGGGTCTCTACCGTGTGGTGAGTCTATGGGGGTTCTCTACCGTGTGGTGAGTCTATGGGGTTCTCTACCGTGTGGTGAGACTATGGGGGTCTCTACCGTGTGGTGAGTCTATGGGGGTCTCTACCGTGTGGTGAGTCTATGAGGTTCTCTACCGTGTAGTGAGTCTATGGGGGTCTCTACCGTGTGGTGAGTCTATGGGGTTCTCTATCGTGTGGTGAGTCTATGGGGTTCTCTACCGTGTGGTGAGTCTATGGGGGTTCTCTACCGTGTGGTGAGTCTATGGGGGTTCTCTACCGCGTGGTGAGTCTATGGGGGTTCTCTACCGCGTGGTGAGTCTATGGGGGTTCTCCACCGCGTGGTGAGTCTATGGGGGTTCTCTACCGCGTGGTGAGTCTATGGGGGTTCTCTACCGTGTGGTGAGTCTATGGGGTTCTCTACCGCGTGGTGAGTCTATGGGGGGTCTCTGTCGTGTTGTGAGTCTATGGGGGTTCTCTACCGCGTGGTGAGTCTATGGGGGTTCTCTACCGTGTGGTGAGTCTATGGGGGTTCTCTACCGCGTGGTGAGTCTATGGGGGTCTCTACCGTGTGGTGAGTCTATGGGGCTCTCTACCGTGTGGTGAGTCTATGGGGTTCTCTACCGTATGGTGAGTCTATGGGGGTCTCTGTCATGTGGTGAGACTATGGGGGTCTCTACCGCGTGGTGAGTCTATGGGGTTCTCTGTCGTGTGGTGAGTCTATGGGGGATCTTTACCGTGTGGTGAGTCTATGGGGGTCTCTGTGGTGAGTCTATGGGGTTCTCTACCGCGTGGTGAGTCTATGGGGGTCTCTACCGCGTGGTGAGTCTATGGGGGTCTCTACCGCGTGGTGAGTCTATGGGGGTCTCTACCGTGTGGTGAGTCTATGGGGGTTCTCTACCGCGTGGTGAGTCTATGGGGGTTCTCTACCGCGTGGGGTGTCTATGGGGGTTCTCTACCGTGTGGTGAGTCCATGGGGGTTCTCTACCGCGTGGTGAGTCTATGGGGGTTCTCTACCGCGTGGTGCGTCTATGGGGGGTCTCTACCGTGTGGTGAGTCTATGGGGGGTCTCTACCGTGTGGTGAGTCTATGGGGGTCTCTACCGTGTGGTGAGTCTATGGGGGTCTCTACCATGTGGTGAGTCTATGGGGTCTCTACCGTGTGGTGAGTCTATGAGGTTCTCTACCGTGTGGTGAGTCTATGGGGGTTCTCTACCGCGTGGTGCGTCTATGGGGTTTCTCTACCGCGTGGTGAGTCTATGGGGGTTCTCTACCGCGTGGTGAGTCTATGGGGTTCTCTACCGTATGGTGAGTCTATGGGGGTCTCTGTCATGTGGTGAGACTATGGGGGTCTCTACCGCGTGGTGCGTCTATGGGGGTTCTCTACCGCGTGGTGCGTCTATGGGGGTTCTCTACCGTGTGGTGCGTCTATGGGGGTTCTCTACCGCGTGGTGCGTCTATGGGGGTTCTCCACCGCGTGGTGAGTCTATGGGGGTTCTCTACCGCGTGGTGCGTCTATGGGGGTTCTCTACCGTGTGGTGAGTCTATGGGGGTTCTCTACCGCGTGGTGAGTCCATGGGGGTTCTCTACCGCGTGGTGAGTCTATGGGGGTTCTCCACCGCGTGGTGAGTCCATGGGGGTTCTCTACCGCGTGGTGAGTCTATGGGGGTTCTCCACCGCGTGGTGAGTCTATGGGGGTTCTCTACCGTGTGGTGAGTCTATGAGGTTCTCTACCGCGTGGTGAGTCTATGGGGGGTCTCTACCGTATGGTGAGTCTATGGGGGTCTCTGTCATGTGGTGAGACTATGGGGGTCTCTACCGCGTGGTGAGTCCATGGGGGTTCTCTACCGCGTGGTGAGTCTATGGGGGTTCTCCACCGCGTGGTGAGTCTATGGGGGTTCCCTACCGCGTGGTGAGTCTATGGGGGTTCTCTACCGCGTGGTGAGTCTATGGGGGTCTCTACCGCGTGGTGAGTCCATGGGGGTTCTCCACCGCGTGGTGAGTCTATGGGGGTTCTCTACCGCGTGGTGAGTCTATGGGGGTTCTCTACCGCGTGGTGAGTCCATGGGGGTTCTCCACCGCGTGGTGAGTCTATGGGGGTTCTCCACCGCGTGGTGAGTCTATGGGGGTTCTCTACCGCGTGGTGAGTCCATGGGGGTTCTCCACCGCGTGGTGCGTCTATGGGGGTTCTCTACCGCGTGGTGAGTCTATGGGGGTTCTCCACCGCGTGGTGCGTCTATGCACGGTAGACTGACCCACCGTACCGTCACCCGCAGGGGAGATGGAGCAGCTGCTGCGGCTGCTGGCGGACGCCGCCCCGCGCTGGCTGGGATTGGTGGCGACGGCGCGCGGCGACCTCTACGTGAAACTGCTGGACAAGTCGGCCGACCTCTCACAGATCACCACGCAGCTGCAGGAGCGCGCACGCCAGGAGCAGGCGACCCTCTAGTGGTGGGCTGTGGTGTGGGTGTGGGTGGGTGTGGACACAGATTCAATCGAAGAATGAGAAGGGGGCCGTCTCGGGACGTGGCTCTAGTGATATCGGCTTCTGCAGCTTCCGTTGCGCGTGGACCCAGAGTCGGTTGAAGAGGAAGACGAGTAAGAAGGCCAGCACAGACGCAGCCTTTGCCCCCCCGCCCCCCCGAGTTCCACTCTCGCCACACCAGCCCGCGGACTGAGAGCGGTGACGGGCGAACGTCCGAAACCGGTCCTGGGCCCTCGCCTCCTCGCCTATGTCGACCCAGCCACCGTGCCTGGGGGATGTTGACGACCTCGCCCCGGTGCACAGGAGGTCGTGGGTTCGATCCCGACCCCGAGGACACCTGCTGTGTTATAATTGGAGTTTGCGGTGTCTCTCATCATCGTCACGGTGGCTAAGAGGTGTTAACTGCCTCGCCCGGTACGCAGGAGGTCGTGGGTTCGATCCATATGACACCTGCTGTGTTATAATTGGAGTTTGCGGTGTCTCTCTCTCATCATCACGGTGGTTAGGAGGTGTTAACTACCTCGCCCGGTACGCAGGAGGTCGTGGGTTCGATCCATATGACACCTGCTGTAGTATGAAGGAACTCGTGGGTTCGATCCATATGACACCTGCTGTGTTATAATTGGAGTTTGCGGTGTCTCTCTCTAATCATCATCACGGTGGCTAAGAGGTGTTAACTACCTCGCCCGGTACGCAGGAGGTCATGGGTTCGATCCCGACCCCGAGGACACCTGCTGTGTTATAATTGGAGTTTGCGGTGTCTCTCTCTCATCATCATCACGGTGGCTATGAGGTGTTAACTACCTCGCCCGGTACGCAGGAGGTCGTGGGTTCGATCCCGAGGCCGCCTGCTGCTGCATATGTGGAGTTTGCGTCTCTCCCTCGCTCTCTTCTCCCCGTGGTCGCGTGGATTTTTTCCCGGGTCCTCCGGTTTTTACCTCGATTTTTACAATCAACAACATCACTCGTTCATAGGATTTGGCTGCTGCTGCTGCTGTAAATGTCCACTCTATGATGATGACGATAACGACGACGACGACGACGATGATGATATCAGCCACTTGGCTGAGCTATCCATTTGTGATGGCTCAGGTCGCTTCCGTAATAAGAGCAACGTAGCTCGGTTTGAGGCACCTTGCACCTGGTAAAATAAAATTAAAAAAAAAAGTTATTTTGTTTAATTGAGAACAGTTGTGCAGTGTGTTAAGACATCCGCACTGCGTAGGCAAAAGGAGCCCTCCGCGGTCTGCTCTCGGGGGGGGCTACACGGTGGAGAAAAGGGGCGGGGGGGATCTTTGTAGCAAAAGGAAGCCGCGATTCAATTCGGTCGCGGGCGCCCCTGCAAACGCCGGTGGTTTTGCGAATGGCCTCGCGCGCGGGAGTCTTGTGGTCCCTCGGCGGCGAAGCTCGCGAGAGGAGACGTAGCGAGCGTCGTGTTAGCGGTCCCGGATGTTTGCTGGGTTCGGCTACCTTTGCTACGAAGCTCCGAGTGTTCGCCCGCCGCTGTGAGGCTCCAGTTGAGCGATCTGCTGCTGCTGGGAGGGGGGGGGGGGGGATTTTGTTTGCCGATTAGCGGTTCCCCAACGTGGGTTCGTTTGCGTGGGTTTTAGCCATGGGGAGGGATGGGTACCCCGGAGGAAGCCCCGCGCAAACCACCACTCGCTCGCTCAGATGTGTTTATCGTCCAGGGGATGCGGTGTTCCAGGAGCGGAATGAGAAACCCCGCTGCTCTGGATTGGGGGAACGATGAGTTATGGAGGGTTATTCCAAACACACGGGGATGATAAGGTCACTTTGAAGAAGGCGGGGTCTCTGAAGTTAGCTCCCTGATGATATCCACTTCCGTGGGTTCCGTTCTGCGCGTGGACCAGAGCGTCACTCGACCAAGAAGGCGGGGTCTCTGAGGTAGCTCCCTGATATCCACTTCCGTGGGTTCCGTTCTGCGCGTGGACCAGAGCGTCACTCGACCAAAAAGGCGGTATCTCTGAGGTAGCTCCCTGATATCCACTTCCGTGGGTTCCGTTCTGTGCGTGGACCAGAGCGTCACTCGTCCAAGAAGGCGGGGTCTCTGAGGTTAGCTCCCTGGTGATATCCACTTCCGTGGGTTCCATTCTGGGCATGGATCACGCTTGCGCCAGGAGATTGAACGGACCCGACAAAGACCACTACAGCACCCCCCTCACCTCCCTGGTGTAGTACTGAAACTGTGTGGATGTAAATGAGGGAACACAAAAATATACGGTGAAGATTCCGCGGAATATAACAACACTCGGCGGCAAATGTTGACGCCGAAAAAAATAACAGCGGTGCGACTTCGATCCTCGCACGTCCATCTCCCGACGTCCGCCACCGTGTCCAGCCGATTGTGACCTCGCCTACCTTGACCTGTGCTGACCTAGCGCCTCGCCTGACCTTCTAGGGTGACCTCTGGCACACAGAGACCCACGGACTCGCACAGACACACAGACTCACACAGAGATCCATAGACTCGCACAGAGTCCATAGACTCGCACAGAGACGCACGGACTCACGCAGAGACCCACGGACTCGCACAGAGACCCACGGACTCGCACAGAGACCCACGGACTCGCACAGAGACCCACAGACTCACACAGAGACCCATGGACTCACACAGAGATCCATAGACTCGCACAGACTCGCACAGAGACCCACAGACTCACACAGAGACCCACAGACTCGCACAGAGATCCATAGACTCGCACAGAGACAGACTCACACAGAGACACACAGACTCACACAGACTCGCACAGACACAGACTCGCACAGACAGACTCGCACAGACACAGACTCGCACAGGCTCGCACAGACTCGCACAGAGGCGCACAGACTCACACAGAGACCCACAGACTCACACAGAGACCCACAGACTCACACAGAGACTCACAGACTCACACAGAGACACAGACTCACACAGAGACACAGACTCGCACACAGACTCGCACAGAGACCCATAGACTCGCGCACAGAGACCCACGGACTCGCGCACAGAGACCCAAAGTGCGTTGTCCTTACCCCAGCACCTCCGATACAGCGCGATTTGCTACTTAGGGTGCGAAATAAGTTCGACATACACGAGGGGCTGAACGTGCAGAAGCCGCTGTCGTGATGATGTGGCGACGGCGATGACGTGGGGGGGGGGAGGGGTCAGACATTTGTGACGATGTGTGACGAGGGGGGGGGGGTGAGAAATGTGACGTCACATCAAAATGCGCAACTTTAAATAAATAGACAACACGTTCTACTTGATTAAATAGACTGTGTTAATAAATGTTTTCTCCTACAACATCAGAGTGTGCAGCGCCACATTAAATAACGCTACGATGACTAATAGTTTAAAGCGATTTGAAGCACGTTTTATATTATTATTATTTTTGGGGGCGGGAGGCAGAGCTTTGTGACGTCATATTTGAGGGGGGGGGGGTCAGAAATAATCCAAAATCGCGTGACGTCATTTATGGACGGCCCCCTTAATGACGTGAAGGCGTTCTCTTCCCGAGACTGCTAGTGGCTGTGTGTTGGGGTTGCGTGCATTGGGTGGGTGGAGTTGTGGTGGTGGTGTTGTTACTTCTGCGCCTTCTCGTGCCTGTTGTTGTTTTTAATAAAAAGGGAAGTTGTGAGGAATCTCAGTCTGGGTGGAAATCCCCCACCACCACCACCCCCATCTGTCTCTCCTCCCGTGATGCATCTCAGCTCCCGCCGCCACATTTCAAACACAAGGGTCACGAATTTGGTTGGCAAGCAAAATCAAACTGTCCATCCCCCAGTGTGGGGCTAGTGTGAAAATGATGAAGCTTAAAATAATAATTAACTCATCATTAGACCTCCTTTGCCAGTACCACAATATAATAATAATAGGGGGATTTGATTTATAGCTTTCGTGACTGCAGTGATTCATATTCTTGGTTCTTTCGGTAAAGTCACCACGTTGAAGGGAAACAATAAAATAATAAAATATATAAAACAATAAAATTCTCACGGCGTTTCGACTGTAGCACAAACAGTCATCGTCAGGTGTGAAAACCAACGGCCATGGTTTTCACACCTGATGATGACTGTGTTACAGTCGAAACGTCGTGAGAATTTTATTGTTTTATATATTTTTTATTGTTTCCCTTCACCGTGACTTTACCGAAAGAACCAAGAATATAATCGGGGGTTTCTCGCCTTTTTTTCTTGCAACAAAACTGACGAGGAATCACCATTGTAGATTTGAAGTTTTCGTGACTGCAAGGATCAATATTCTTTGGTTCTTTCGGTAAAGTCACGTAGGTAGAACAAATAAATTAAATCGATTGCAACACAAGCAATCATCATCAAATGTGTGACAACCACAGCAAGAAAAAAAGTATTGTGGTTGTCACACCTGATGATGATTGCTCGTCTTTTGTTCTTTCGGTAAAGTCAGTCACGTAGAATTATTTTATTACGTTGTATTTTTATTATTTTAATATTTCCCTTCTGCGTGGTGACTTTACCGAAAGAACCAAGAAGATGAATCCCTGCAGTCACGAAAGCTTTAAATCGAAAAAATGATTGCTTGTGTTGGAATCGAAACGTCGTGATTTAATTTATTTTATTTTTCTAACCTACGTGACTTTACGGAAATAATAAGGAATCATGTGGTGCGTTAATCACAATACTTATGGTCAAAATGCCAATAAAAAACACTGATAATATGATGATGATGATGCATTGTCCTTGAATCTGATTGGTCCACACCAAGAGACGGCTTTCTTTTGAGCCTCGTCTCAAACGGTGCTAGGCCAGATGACGCCAAAAGGCGTTGCACAGCTCAAAGACAATGCCACTATCAAAGTAATGAGGGCTCGGGGTAAGCATCTACATCATTATACCTCCTTTTGCCAGTACCAAAATAGTATAATAATAATAATAATAGGGGTTTTCCCCCTAATAATAAACTCCTTAAACATTTTTTTAACGTTTTTATTTTGATGTAAAGCTTTCGTGACTGCACGGATTCATATTCTTGGTTCTTTCGGTAAAGTCACCACGTAGAAGGGAAACAATAAAATAATAAAATAATATAAAACAATTAAATTCTCACGACGTTTCGACTGCAACACAAGCAATCATCATCAGGTGTGAAACCACAGCAAGAAAATTTTGAAAAAAGTGGCGTTTTTTCCCCAAAAATTGTTCTTGCTGTAGTTTTCACACCTGATGATGACTGCTTGTGTTGCAGTCGAAACGTCGTGCGAATTGTATCGTTTTATTATTTTATTGTTTCCCTTCTACGTGGTGGTGACTTTACCGAAAGAACCAAGAATATAACGGTTTTTTTTTATTAACAACTTCGTTTAATCTTCATTTGAAGCTTTCGTGACTGCAGGAATCACCATCATATTCTTTGGGTTCTCTCGGTAAAGTCACGTGGGTAGGAAATAAAATATAAACAAATCGCGCCGTTTCTATCGCAACACAAGCGATCGTCATCAGGTTTCAGTTTCATTTATTTTGGTATCGAGCCCTGTGAGCCATTGGGCTCTTGAATCGGGTGCAACCACAACAAATAAAAACACAAAAACACGAACAAGATAAACATCTTAAAGTGTGAATGTGTGTTGACTGTGCAAACAGAAAATCCGTGGAGGAAAAAAAAACCAGCAAAAATATTCCTGAAAAAAGCCACGGTGTACACCACCAACGCTGTGTGTGCCAAAAACTCCCAGTGGGATGCAAGTCAAACAACAACAACAACCACAAGACAACTTAGATTAAGGCCATCATTCTAACTCCGTACTACAAACGAAACAAACATGGCCAAACCAAAAAAAAACGTTTTCGAAATCACCAAAATAAAGCCATAAAAGCAATGTAACAGTGAGCATAGGGACTGACCGAATTTGTACAGTAAACTACATAAATAACAACATGTAACACCAAATCCTAGAGGCCATAGCCGACTGCATGAGTCACTCCACAACAGCAGGAGCATCAGTCGGAGTATCAACATTTTTCAAATGCACCTTTAAAGATCAGCACGCTAAATCAAAATACAGTTTTCAGTTTTTATTTTATTTATTTTCGTATCGAGCCCTGTGAACCATTGGGCTCTTGAATCGGGTGCAACCACAACAAACAAAAAAAACTAAAACACGAACAAGATAAACATCTTAAAGTTACTATGTGACTGTGCAAACAGAAAATCCATGCAAAAAACAGCGAAATATTCCTGAAATAAGCCACCGTGTAGACCAACGCTGTGTGCAAAAAATCCCAGTGGGATGCAAGTCAAACAACAACCACAAGACAACTTAGATTAAGGCCATCAGTCTAACTCCGTACTACAACAAAACAAACATGTCCAAACCAGAAGAAACGTTTTCAAAATCACCAACAAATAAAGCCATAATTGCAACGTAACAGTGATCACAGGGACTGTGACCGAATTTTTACAATAAACTACGTAAATAATAACATGTAACACCAAATCCTAGAGCCATAGCTGGCTGCATGAGTTACTCCACAACAGCGGTCATCCGGAGCGAAAACATTTTATTTTAGGCCACTGAATAGCAGTGGCAGCTAGGGGTGTACTACTCCTCTAGAGCAGTTTTGAGTGAAGATCTCATAGGTATAAATTTTGATTTAAAGCTTTCGTGACTGCAGGGATTCATATTCTTGGTTCTTTCGGTAAAGTCACCACCACGTAGAAGGGAAACAATAAAATAATAAAAATATAAAACAATACAATTCTCACGACGTTTCGACTGCAACACAAGCAATCATCATCAGGTGTGAAAACCACACCTGATGATGATTGCTGCTTGTGTTGCAGTCGAAACGTCGTGAGAATTTTCTTGTTTTATATTATTATTTTATTGTTTCCCTTATACGTGGTGGTGACTTTACCGAAAGAACCAAGATATAATAAAAATATTGTTTTATATTTTTATTATTTTATTGTTTCCCTTCTACGTGGTGACTTTACCGAAAGAACCAAGAATATAATAAAAAATATTGTTTTATATTTTTATTATTTAATTGTTTCCCTTCTACGTGGTGGTGACTTTACCGAAAGAACCAAGAATATAATAAAAAAATATTGTTTTATATTTGTATTATTTTATTGTTTCCCTTCTACGTGGTGACTACCGAAAGAACCAAGAATATAATAAAAATATTGTTTTATATTTTTATTATTTTATTGTTTCCCTTCTACGTGGTGGTGACTTTACCGAAAGAACCAAGAATATAATAAAAAAATATTGTTTTATATTTGTATTATTTTATTGTTTCCCTTCTACGTGGTGGTGACTTTACCGAAAGAACCAAGAATATAATAAAAATATTGTTTTATATTTTTATTATTTTATTGTTTCCCTTCTACGTGGTGGTGACTTTACCGAAAGAACCAAGAATATAATAAAAAAAATATTGTTTTATATTTGTATTATTTTATTGTTTCCCTTCTACGTGGTGGTGACTTTACCGAAAGAACCAAGAATATATCTCTCAGGTGGTGATTCAAGTTGCAGTTTATTGGCAATAGCATTCCAGACCCATCCAGGGTTAGTGACGTCACACGCGCGAGTGACGTCGATGCAAGAAACGCGACCGTCGCCGTTGACAAAACAGGAGTGACGTCACATGCGCTCCCTCTCGCGTGACGTCAAACGCATTCCTCTCTCGCGTGACGGTCAAACGCGCTACTTCTGGCGTGACGTCACCCTTGACAAAAAACAGGTTTGACGTCACACGCGCTCCATCTCGCGTGACGTCAAACGCGCTCGCCCTCGCGTGACGTCGCCGTTGACATAACAAGCAGTGACGTCATCCCCCCCATCAGCGCCGCTCCCCACAGCAGCAGCACGACGACCAACAGCTACAACAAGATGGCGTGCACGGCCCGTGAGTAGTTACAGGCGTCGCAGTCCCACCACCACTGCTTTACCACCACCACCACACTAACACCACCACCACACTAACACCACCACCACCACACTACCACCACCACACCACAGCTACAACAAGATGTCGTGCACGGCCCGTGAGTAGTCACAGGCGTTGTAGTCATCGTAGTCCCACCACTGTTTTACCACCACCACTACCACCACCACCACACTACCACCACCACACTACCACCACCACACTACCACCACCACACTACCACCAGACCACCACACTACCACCAGACCACCACACTACCACCAGACCACCACACTACCACCAGACCACCACACTACCACCACACCACCACACTACCACCACACTACCACCAGACCACCACACTACCACCACCACACTACAACCACCACCACCACACTACCACCACCACACTACCACCACTACCACCACCACACTACCACCACCACACCACCACACTACCACCACCACACCACCACACTACCACCACCACACCACCACACTACCACCACCACACTACCACCACCACACTACCACACCACCACCACACTACCACCACCACACTACCACCACCACACCACCACACTACCACCACCACACTACCACCACCACACTACCACACCACCACCACCACACCACCACTACCACCACTACCACCACCACACTACCACCACACTACCACCACCACCACACTACCACCACCACACTACCACCACCACACCACCACACTACCACCACCACACTACCACCACCACACTACCACCACCACACCACCACCACACCACCACCACACTACCACCACCACACTACCACCACCACACTACCACTACCACCACCACCACACTACCACCACTACCACCACCACCACACTACCACCACCACCACACTACCACCACTACCACCACCACACTACCACCACCACACTACCACCACCACACCACCACCACACTACCACCACCACACTACCACCACCACACTACCACCACACCACCACCACACTACCACCACCACACCACCACCACACTACCACCACCACACTACCACCACCACACTTACCACCACCACACTACCACCACTACCACCACCACACTACCACCACCACACCACCACCACACTACCACCACCACACTACCACCACCACACTACCACCACCACACTTACCACCACCACACTACCACCACCACAGCTCACGGCCCGTGAGTCGGAGTCGTCTCTCTCGGGCAGACGGGAAACTCGCGACCACATCACTACCATCACTTCTTGACGGGAAACTCGCGCGACCACATCACTACCATCACTTCTTTACCACCACGTCAGCACCAGCACCACTACCACCACTACTACACCACTACCACCACTACTACACCACCACCACTACCACCACTACTACACCACCACCACTACTACACCACCACCACTACCATCACTTCTTTACCACCACGTCACCACCAGCACCACTACCACCACTACTACACCACCACCACTACCATCACGTCTTTACCACTACTTCACCACCAGCACCACTACCACCACTACTACACCATCACTACCATCACGTCTTTACCACTACCACCAGCACCACTACCACCACTACTACACCACCACTACCATCACGTCTTTACCACTACGTCACCACCAGCACCACTACCACCACTACTACACCACCATCACTACCATCACGTCTTTACCACTACGTCACCACCAGCACCACTACCACCACTACTACACCATCACTACCATCACTTCTTTACCACTACGTCACCACCAGCACCACTACCACCACTACTACACCACCACCACTACCATCACGTCTTTACCACTACTTCACCACCAGCACCACTACCACCACTACTACACCACCACTACCATCACGTCTTTACCACTACCACCACTACTACACCACCACTACCATCACGTCTTTACCACTACTTCACCACCAGCACCACTACCACCACTACTACACCACCATCACTACCATCACGTCTTTACCACTACGTCACCACCAGCACCACTACCACCACTACTACACCACCACTACCATCACGTCTTTACCACTACGTCACCACCAGCACCACTACCACCACTACTACACCACCACTACCATCACGTCTTTACCACTACCACCAGCACCACTACCACCACTACTACACCACCACTACCATCACGTCTTTACCACTACTTCACCACCAGCACCACTACCACCACTACTACACCACCACCACTACCATCACGTCTTTACCACTACGTCACCACCAGCACCACTACCACCACTACTACACCACCACCACTACCATCACGTCTTTACCACTACGTCACCACCAGCACCACTACCACCACTACTACACCACCACCACTACCATCACGTCTTTACCACTACGTCACCACCAGCACCACTACCACCACTACTACACCACCACCACTACCATCACGTCTTTACCACTACTTCACCACCAGCACCACTACCACCACTACTACACCACCATCACTACCATCACGTCTTTACCACTACGTCACCACCAGCACCACTACCACCACTACTACACCATCACTACCATCACTTCTTTACCACTACCACCAGCACCACTACCACCACTACTACACCACCATCACTACCATCACGTCTTTACCACTACGTCACCACCAGCACCACTACCACCACTACTACACCATCACTACCATCACTTCTTTACCACTACCACCACTACTTCACCACCACCACTACCTGCAGCACCACTACCACCACCACTTCACCACCACCACTACTTCACCACCAGCACCACTACCACCACTACTGCACAACCACCACTACCATCACTTCTTTACCACTACCACCACTACTTCACCACTACCTGCAGCACCACTACCACCACCACTACCACCACCACTTCACCACTACCTGCAGCACCAGCACCACTAACCACCACTACTGCACAACCACCACTACCATCACTTATTTACCACTACCACCATCCCACCACTACCACCACCCCACCACTACCACCACTACCACCACCCCACCTGCGGGAGGTCGTGTGTCTGGCGCGTCGGACACACGACCTCCCCCTTCATCCCACGCTTTCTGGGGTTTGACGGGGGGGGGGGGGGTGGTGATGGTTGGTGGTGGTTGGTGGTGATGGTTGGTGGTGGTGATGATTTTGGTGGTGGTGGTGATGATTTTGGTGGTGGTGATGATTGTGGTAATGGTGGTGATGATTGTGGTAATGGTGGTGATGATTGTGGTAATGGTGGTGATGATTGTGGTAATGATTGTGATTGTGGTGATGATTGTAGTGGTGGTGGTGGTGATGATTGTAGTGGTGGTGGTGGTGATGGTGGTGATGATTGTGGTGGTTGTGGTGATGGTTGTGGTGATGGTGGTGATGGTGGTGGCTCCTCGCCCCGCCAGACCCGCTCACCTTCCCCAAGGCGGCATGCGAGGGAGGAAGTGGTGGGTGGAAGCTGTAGCGAGGTGGGTGGAAGCTGTTGCGAGGTGGGTGGAAGCTGTAGCGAGGTGGGTGGAAGCTGTGGCGAGGTGGGTGGAAGCTGTGGCGAGGTGGGTGGAAGCTGTAGCGAGGTGGGTGGAAGCTGTAGCGAGGTGGGTGGAAGCTGTAGCGAGGTGGGTGGAAGCTGTAGCGAGGTGGGTGGAAGCTGTGGCGAGGTGGGTGGAAGCTGTGGCGAGGTGGGTGGAAGCTGTGGCGAGGTGGGTGGAAGCTGTAGCGAGGTGGGTGGAAGCTGTAGCGAGGTGGGTGGAAGCTGTAGCGAGGTGGGTGGAAGCTGTAGCGAGGTGGGTGGAAGCTGTGGCGAGGTGGGTGGAAGCTGTGGCGAGGTGGGTGGAAGCTGTAGCGAGGTGGGTGGAAGCTGTGGCGAGGTGGGTGGAAGCTGTGGCGAGGTGGGTGGAAGCTGTAGCGAGGTGGGTGGGAGCTGTAGCGAGGTGGTTGGAAGCTGTAGCGAGGTGGGTGGAAGCTGTAGGCGGGGGGGGTGGAAGCTGTGGCGAGGTGGGTGGAAGCTGTAGCGAGGTGGGTGGAAGCTGTGGCGAGGTGGGTGGAAGCTGTAGCGAGGTGGGTGGAAGCTGTAGCGAGGTGGGTGGAGGCTGTAGCGAGGTGGGTGGAGGCTGTGGCGAGGTGGGTGGAAGCTGTGGCGAGGTGGGTGGAAGCTGTAGCGAGGTGGGTGGAGGCTGTAGCGAGGTGGGTGGAGGCTGTGGTGAGGTGGGTGGAAGCTGTAGCGAGGTGGGTGGAAGCTGTAGCGAGGTGGGTGGGAGCTGTGGCTAGGTGGGTGGAAGCTGTAGCGAGGTGGGTGGAGGCTGTGGCGAGGTGGGTGGAAGCTGTAGCGAGGTGGGTGGGAGCTGTGGCTAGGTGGGTGGAAGCTGTAGCGAGGTGGGTGGAGGCTGTGGCGAGGTGGGTGGAAGCTGTAGCGAGGTGGGTGGGAGTTGTGGCTAGGTGGGTGGAAGCTGTAGCGAGGTGGGTGGAAGCTGTAGCGAGGTGGGTGGAAGCTGTAGGCGGGGGGGGTCAGACATTTGTGACGAGGGGGGAGGGAGGGTGTTTGACAAACGTGACGTCACACCAAAATGCGCAACTTTATAAATAAATATAGACACAACGCGTTCTACTTAATTAAATAGACTTTGTTAATAAATGTTTTCTCCTACAACATCAGAGTGTGCAGCGCCACATTAAATAACGCGCTACAATGACTAATAGTTTAAAGCGATTTGAAGCATGTTTTATATATTTATTTGGGGGGGGGGGGGGGGGGCAGAGCTTTGTGACGTCATATTTGAGGGGGTGTCTGACTTTTTGTGACGTCATATTGAGGGGGTCTCACTTTTTGTGACGTCATATTTGAGGGGGGGTGGTCTGACTTTTTTGTGACGTCATATTTGAGGGGGGTCTGACTTTTTGTGACGTCATATTTGAGGGGGCGGTCTGACTTTTTGTGACGTCATATTTGAGGAGGGGGTCTGACTCTTTGTGACAACGGGGGGGGGGGGGGGGGGGGGGCGGTCAAAAATCCGTCCAAAATCGCGTGACGTCATTTATGGGATTGCCCCTAACGCTCTGAACTCCCGTGCCCCTGACCGTCTGTGGGAGGGGTGCAAAAGAGCTTCACAGCTCATCGGATTTCCTCCTGCTGCTGCTGCACTGATAAATAGCCAATGTCCAGAGTCTGATGAGCCTCTGTGTCAGACGCCCGTCCACACCTGATACTCGCTACGAACAGCACTTGCCCCTACAGCCTGTTGCAGGCTACACGGGGGATCTTTGTCTTTGTGTGTATAGGTGCTGCTGCTGCTACTCGCTACGAACAGCACTTGCCCCTACAGCCTGTTGCAGGCTACACGGGGGATCTTTGTCTTTGTGTCTGTAGGCACTGCTGCTGCTACTGACAGCACTTGCCCCTACAGCCTGTTGCAGGCTACACGGGGGATCTTTGTCTTTGTGTCTGTAGTCACTGCTACTCGCTACGAACAGCACTTGCCCCTACAGCCTGTTGCAGGCTACACGGGGGATCTTTGTCTTTGTGTGTATAGGTGCTGCTGCTGCTACTGACAGCACTTGCCCCTACAGCCTGTTACAGGCTACACGGGGGATCTTTGTCTTTGTGTCTGTAGTCACTGCTACTCGCTACGAACAGCACTTGCCCCTACAGCCTGTTGCAGGCTACACGGGGGATCTTGTCTTTGTGTGTATAGGTGCTGCTGCTGCTACTCGCTACGAACAGCACTTGCCCCTACAGCCTGTTGCAGGCTACACTGGGGATCTTTGTCTTTGTGTCCGTAGTCACTGCTACTCGCTACGAACAGCACTTGCCCCTACAGCCTGTTGCAGGCTACACGGGGGATCTTTGTCTTTGTGTGTATAGGTGCTGCTGCTGCTACTCGCTACGAACAGCACTTGCCCCTACAGCCTGTTACAGGCTACACGGGGGATCTTTGTCTTTGTGTCTGTAGGCACTGCTGCTGCTACTGACAGCACTTGCCCCTACAGCCTGTTACAGGCTACACGGGGGATCTTTGGCTTTGTGTGTATAGGTGCTGTTGCTGCTGCTACTGACAGCACTTGCCCCTACAGCCTATTGGAGGCTACACGGGGGATCTTTGTGTGTATAGGCGCTGCTACTACTACTTGCCACTAATAGTATCTGTGGGGATCTGTGTGACTCTACTGTGCTGTTAAAATGACGAAACGACATGAAGACGTGTTATCCCATTCGCTGTCAACAGAGGAGGTGTTCAGATGTTGAAACACCAAATTGCATGGTGTTGTCAATGCAGACATCCACACAGAGACCCATAGACTCACCACACAGAGACCCATAGACTCACCACACAGAGACCCATAGACTCACCACACAGAGACCCATAGACTCACCACACAGAGACACACAGACTCACCACACAGAGACCCACAGACTCACCACACAAAGACCCATAGACTCACCACACAGAGACCCATAGACTCACCACACAGAGACCCACAGACTCATCACACAGAGACCCATAGACTCATCACACAGAGACCCATAGACTCACACCACACAGAGACCCATAGACTCACCACACAGAGACCCACAGACTCACCACACAGAGACCCATAGACTCAGCACACAGAGACCCATAGACTCACCACACAGAGAACCCATAGACTCACCACACAGAGACCCACAGACTCACCACACAGAGACCCATAGACTCACCACACAGAGACCCACAGACTCACCACACAGAGACCCACAGACTCATCGCACAGAGACCCATAGACTCATCACACAGAGACCCACAGACTCACCACACAGAGACCCATAGACTCACACAGCAGAGACCCACAGACTCACACAGCAGAGACCCATAGACTCACCACACAGAGACCCATAGACTCACCACACAGAGACCCATAGACTCACCGCACAGAGACCCATAGACTCACCACACAGAGACCCACAGACTCATCGCACAGAGACCCATAGACTCACCACACAGAGACCCATAGACTCACCACACAGAGACCCATCGACTCACCACACAGAGACCCATAGACTCACCACACAGAGACCCATAGACTCACCACACAGAGACCCATAGACTCATCACACAGAGACCCATAGACTCATCACACAGAGACCCACAGACTCACCACACAGAGACCCACAGACTCACCACACAGATACCCACAGACTCACCACACAGAGACCCACAGACTCACCACCACACAGAGACCCACAGACTCATCACACAGAGACCCACAGACTCATCACACAGAGATCCACAGACTCACCACACAGAGACCCATAGACTCACCACACAGAGACCCACAGACTCACCACACAGAGACCCACAGACTCACCACACAGAGACCCATAGACTCACCACACAGAGACCCACAGACTCACCACACAGAGACCCATCGACTCACCACACAGAGATCCATAGACTCACCACACAGAGACCCATAAACTCACCACACAGAGACCCACAGACTCACCACACAGAGACCCATAGACTCAGCACACAGAGACCCATAGACTCATCACACAGAGACCCATAGACTCATCACACAGAGACACACAGACTCATCACACAGAGACCCATAGACTCACCACACAGAGACCCATAGACTCATCACACAGAGACCCATAGGCTCACCACACAGAGATCCATAGACTCATCGCACAGAGACCCATAGACTCATCACACAGAGACCCATAGACTTAGCACACAGAGACCCACAGACTCACACAGCAGAGACCCACAGGCTCACACAGCAGAGACCCATAGACTCACCACACAGAGACCCATAGACTCACCACACAGACCCATAGACTCACCACACAGAGACCCATAGACTCACCACACAGAGACCCACATACTCATCACACAGAGACCCATAGACTCACCACACAGAGACCCACAGACTCATCACACAGAGACCCATAGACTCATCACACAGAGACCCACAGACTCACCACACAGAGACCCATAGACTCATCACACAAAGACCCTAGACTCACCACACAGATACCCACAGTCCCACCACACAGAGACCCACAGACTCACCACACAGAGACCCACAGACTCATCACACAGAGATCCACAGACTCATCACGCAGAGACCCATAGACTCACCACGCAGAGACCCATAGACTCACCACACAGAGACCCACAGACTCATCACACAGAGACCCATAGACTCATCACACAGAGACCCACAGACTCATCACACAGAGACCCATAGATTCATCACACAGAGACCCATAGACTCACCACACAGACCCATAGACTCACCACACAGAGACCCATAGACTCACCACACAGAGACCCACATACTCATCACACAGAGACCCATAGACTCATCACACAGACCCACAGACTCATCACACAGAGACCCATACACTCATCACACAGAGACCCATAGACTCACCACACAGAGACCCATAGACTCACCACACAGAGACCCATAGACTCACCACACAGATACCCACAGACTCACCACCACACAGAGACCCACAGACTCACCACACAGAGACCCACAGACTCATCACACAGAGACCCATAGACTCATCACACAAAGACCCATAGACTCACCACGCAGAGACCCATAGACTCACCACACAGAGACCCATAGACTCATCACACAGAGACCCACAGACTCATCACACAGAGACCCATAGATTCATCACACAGAGACCCATAGACTCATCACACAGAGACCCATAGACTCACCACACAGAGACCCATAGACTCACCACACAGAGACCCATAGACTCACCACACAGAGACCCACAGACTCATCACACAGAGACCCATAGACTCATCACACAGAGACCCACAGACTCATCACACAGAGACCCATAGATTCATCACACAGAGACCCATAGACTCACCACACAGAGACCCATAGACTCACCACACAGAGACCCATAGACTCCACACAGAGACCCACAGTCTCATCACACAGAGACCCATAGACTCACCACACAGAGACCCATAGACTCACCACACAGACCCATAGACTCACCACACAGAGACCCATAGACTCACCACACAGAGACCCACATACTCATCACACAGAGACCCATAGACTCATCACACAGAGACCCACAGACTCACCACACAGAGACCCATAGACTCATCACACAGAGACCCACAGACTCATCACACAGAGACCCATAGACTCATCACACAGAGACCCATAGACTCACCACACAGAGACCCATAGACTCACCACACAGACCCATAGACTCACCACACAGAGACCCATAGACTCACCACACAGAGACCCACATACTCATCACACAGAGACCCATAGACTCACCACACAGACCCATAGACTCACCACACAGAGACCCATAGACTCACCACACAGAGACCCACATACTCATCACACAGAGACCCATAGACTCACCACACAGAGACCCACAGACTCACCACACAGAGACCCACAGACTCACCACACAGAGACCCACAGACTCACCACACAGAGACCCATAGACTCACCACACAGAGACCCATAGACTCACCACACAGAGACCCACAGACTCACCACACACAGACCCATAGATGTTGTTAGATATTGATGGATGTTGATGGATGACGATTGATGAGTACCCCCGTCTCCTGCCCCCCCCGCCCCCCTGCCCCCCCCCCCCCCCCCCCCCCCCCGTGCCCCCCCAGGCGTGAGAGTTCCACGAAACTTCCGCCTGCTGGAGGAGCTGGAGGAGGGGCAGAAGGGCGTGGGGGACGGCACGGTCAGCTGGGGCCTGGAGGACGACGACGACATGACCATGACGAGGTGGACAGGCATGATCATCGGGCCCCCTAGGGTGAGTGTGGTGGTGAGTGTGGTGAGTGTGGTGGTGGTGGTGGTGGTGACGTGACCATGACGAGGTGGACAGGCATGATCATCGGGCCTCCTAGGGTGAGTGGTGAGTGTGGTGGTGGTGAGTGTGGTGGTGGTGGTGGTGGTGACGTGACCATGACGAGGTGGACAGGCATGATCATCGGGCCTCCTAGGGTGAGTGTGGTGGTGGTGGTGAGTGTGGTGGTGGTGGTGGTGACATGACCATGACGAGGTGGACAGGCATGATCATCGGGCCCCCTAGGGTGAGTGTGGTGGTGAGTGTGGTGGTGAGTGTGGTGAGTGTGGTAGTGAGTGTGGTAGTGAGTGTGGTGGTGAGTGTGGTGGTGAGTGTGGTGGTGGTGAGTGTGGTGGTGGTGACATGACCATGACGAGGTGGACAGGCATGATCATCGGGCCTCCTAGGGTGAGTGGTGGTGGTGAGTGTGGTGGTGAGTGTGGTGGTGAGTGTGGTGGTGGTGACATGACCATGACGAGGTGGACAGGCATGATCATCGGGCCTCCTAGGGTGAGTGGTGGTGGTGGTGAGTGTGGTGGTGAGTGTGATGGTGGTGAGTGTGGTGGTGGTGAGTGTGGTGAGTGTGGTGAGGGTGGTGGTGGTGGTGAGTGTGGTGGTGAGTGTGGTGATAGTGAGTGTGGTGGTGAGTGTGGTGGTGGTGGTGGTGAGTGTGGTGGTGGTGGTGGTGAGTGTGGTGGTGGTGACATGACCATGACGAGGTGGACAGGCATGATCATCGGGCCCCTAGGGTGAGTGGTGGTGGTGGTGAGGGTGGTGGTGAGGGTGGTGAGGGTGGTGAGTGTGGTGAGGGTGGTGGTGGTGGTGAGTGTGGTGGTGAGTGTGGTGATAGTGCGTGTGGTGGTGAGTGTGGTGGTGGTGGTGAGTGTGGTGGTGGTGACATGACCATGACGAGGTGGACAGGCATGATCATCGGGCCCCCTAGGGTGAGTGTGGTGGTGGTGAGGGTGGTGGTGAGTGTGGTGGTGAGTGTGGTGAGTGTGGTAGTGAGTGTGGTGGTGAGTGTGGTGGTGGTGACATGACCATGACGAGGTGGACAGGCATGATCATCGGGCCTCCTAGGGTGAGTGTGGTGGTGAGTGTGGTGGTGAGGGTGGTCAGTGTGTTGAGTGGTGGTGGTGGTGAGTGTGGTGGTGAGTGTGGTGATAGTGAGTGTGGTGGTGAGTGTGGTGATAGTGAGTGTGGTGGTGAGTGTGGTGGTGGTGGTGAGTGTGGTAGTGAGTGTGGTGGTGAGTGTGGTGGTGGTGAGTGTGGTGGTGGTGACATGACCATGACGAGGTGGACAGGCATGATCATCGGGCCCCCTAGGGTGAGTGTGGTGGTGAGGGTGGTGGTGAGTGTGGTGGTGAGTGTGGTGGTGAGTGTGGTGGTGAGTGTGGTGGTGGTGGTGAGTGTGGTGGTGAGTGTGGTGACTGTGGTGAGTGTGGTGGTGGTGAGTGTGGTGGTGGTGGTGACATGACCATGACGAGGTGGACAGGCATGATCATCGGGCCCCCTAGGGTGAGTGTGGTGGTGAGGGTGAGGGTGGCGATGGTGAGTGTGGTGGTGGTGGTGAGTGTGGTGGTGGTGGTGACATGACCATGACGAGGTGGACAGGCATGATCATCGGGCCTCCTAGGGTGAGTGTGGTGGTGAGGGTGGTGGTGAGTGTGGTGGTGGTGAGTGTGGTAGTGGTGAGGGTGACAGTGAGTGTGGTGGTGGTGGTGGTGGTGACATGACCATGACGAGGTGGACAGGCATGATCATCGGGCCCCCTAGGGTGAGTGGTGGTGGTGGTGAGTGTGGTGGTGGTGGTGAGTGTGGTGGTGAGTGTGGTGGTGGTGACGTGACCATGACGAGGTGGACAGGCATGATCATCGGGCCTCCTAGGGTGAGTGGTGGTTGTGGTGAGTGTGGTGGTGAGTGTGGTGAGTGTGGTGGTGGTAGTGGTGAGGGTGACAGTGAGTGTGGTGGTGGTGAGTGTGGTGGTGAGTGTGGTGGTGGTGACATGACCATGACGAGGTGGACAGGCATGATCATCGGGCCCCCTAGGGTGAGTGTGGTGGTGGTGAGTGTGGTGGTGAGTGTGGTGGTGAGTGTGGTGGTGGTGACATGACCATGACGAGGTGGACAGGCATGATCATCGGGCCCCCTAGGGTGAGTGTGGTGGTGGTGGTGAGTGTGGTGGTGAGTGTGGTGGTGAGTGTGGTGGTGGTGACATGACCATGACGAGGTGGACAGGCATGATCATCGGGCCTCCTAGGGTGAGTGGTGGTGGTGGTGGTGAGTGTGGTGGTGAGTGTGGTGGTGGTGAGTGTGGTGGTGGTGACGTGACCATGACGAGGTGGACAGGCATGATCATCGGGCCCCCTAGGGTGAGTGGTGGTGGTGGTGGTGAGTGTGGTGGTGAGTGTGGTGGTGGTGAGTGTGGTGGTGGTGAGGGTGGTGGTGGTGAGTGTGGTGAGTGTGGTGAGGGTGGTGGTGGTGAGTGTGGTGGTGAGTGTGGTGGTGGTGAGGGTGGTGGTGGTGAGTGTGGTGAGTGTGGTGAGGGTGGTGGTGGTGGTGAGTGTGGTGGTGAGTGTGGTGATAGTGAGTGTGGTGGTGAGTGTGGTGGTGGTGGTGGTGAGTGTGGTGGTGGTGGTGAGTGTGGTGGTGGTGACATGACCATGACGAGGTGGACAGGCATGATCATCGGGCCCCCTAGGGTGAGTGTGGTGGTGGTGAGGGTGGTGGTGAGTGTGGTGGTGAGTGTGGTGAGTGTGGTAGTGAGTGTGGTGGTGAGTGTGGTGGTGGTGACATGACCATGACGAGGTGGACAGGCATGATCATCGGGCCTCCTAGGGTGAGTGTGGTGGTGAGTGTGGTGGTGAGGGTGGTCAGTGTGTTGAGTGGTGGTGGTGGTGAGTGTGGTGGTGGTGGTGAGTGTGGTGGTGAGTGTGGTGTTGAGTGTGGTGGTGGTGGTGGTGAGTGTGGTGGTGGTGGTGAGTGTGGTGGTGGTGGTGAGTGTGGTGGTGGTGGTGAGTGTGGTGGTGGTGGTGAGTGTGGTGGTGGTGACATGACCATGACGAGGTGGACAGGCATGATCATCGGGCCCCCTAGGGTGAGTGGTGGTGGTGGTGAGGGTGGTGGTGAGGGTGGTGAGGGTGGTGAGTGTGGTGGTGAGGGTGATGGTGATGGTGAGTGTGGTGGTGGTGAGTGTGGTGGTGGTGAGTGTGGTGAGTGTGGTGAGTGTGGTGAGTGTGGTGGTGAGTGTGGTGGTGGTGAGTGTGGTGGTGGTGAGTGTGGTGGTGGTGGTGAGTGTCGTGGTGAGTGTGGTGGTGGTGAGTGGTGGTGAGGGTGACGGTGGTGAGTGTGGTGGTGGTGAGTGTGGTGGTGAGTGTGGTGGTGCGTGTGGTGGTGGTGGTGAGTGTGGTGGTGAGTGTGGTGGTGGTGAGTGTGGTGGTGGTGGTGAGTGTGGTGGTGGTGAGTGTGGTGGTGAGGGTGACGGTGGTGAGTGTGGTGGTGGTGAGTGTGGTGGTGAGTGTGGTGGTGGTGAGTGTGATGGTGAGTGTGATGGTGAGTGTGGTGGTGGTGGTGAGTGTGGTGGTGGTGAGTGTGGTGGTGGTGACATGACCATGACGAGGTGGACAGGCATGATCATCGGGCCCCCTAGGGTGAGTGGTGGTGGTGAGTGTGGTGGTGAGTGTGGTGGTGAGGGTGGTGGATGAGTGCGTGGTGGTGTTGAGTGATGGTAGGTGGTGATGAGTGAGTGGTGGTGTTGAGTGGTGGTGATGAGTGATGGTGGTGGATGAGTGAGTGGTGGTGTTGAGTGGTGGTGGTGAGTGGTGGTGATGAGTGATGGTGGGTGAGCGAGTGGTGGTGATGAGTGATGGTGATGAGTGATTTTGGGTGAGCGAGTGGTGGTGATGAGTGATGGTGATGAGTGATGGTGGGTGGTGATGAGTGAGTGGTGGTGTTGAGTGGTGGTGATGAGTGAGTGGTGGATGAGTGAGTGGTGGTGATGAGTGGTGGTGATGAGTGATGGTGGGTGGTGATGAGTGAGTGGTGGTGTTGAGTGGTGGTGATGAGTGGTGGTGGGTGAGCGAGTGGTGGTGATGAGTGATTTTGGGTGAGCGAGTGGTGGCGCTGACGCGGCACGGGAGGAGGCCGTGGAGCCGAGTGGACTTGGCCATTAACGGTACCAGCGGTGTCGAGGGCGGCCTCTGTGGAGGAGGAGGAGGCTCGTGAAGGACGCCGCCGCTGCTGAGCAGCTGGAGGCAGTCGCCCTCCAGCAACAGCCGAGGTGCACCGAGCCTGGCACTAGCGCCGTGGCGAACGGAGGGGGGGGGGGGGGGGGTGTTGACCAAGTGGGTGACTAGCGAGTGAATAATTGAGCGAGCGCGTGGGCGAGCGGGTGGCCAGGGACTGAGTGAGCGAGTGACTGATTGACTGAGCGAGTGACTGATTGACTGATTGACTGAGCGAGTGACTGATTGACTGATTGACTGAGCGAGTGACTGATTGACTGAGCGAGTGACTGATTGACTGAGCGAGTGACTGATTGACTGAGCGAGTGACTGATTGACTGAGCGAGTGACTGATTGACTGAGCGAGTGACTGTGCGAGTGACTGATTGACTGAGCGAGTGACTGAGCGGTGACTGAGCGACTGACTGAGCGAGTGAGTGACTGACTGAGCGAGTGACTGAGCGAGGGACTGAGTGAGCGAGTGACTGAGCGAGTGACTGATTGACTGAGCGAGTGACTGAGCGAGTGACTGAGCGAGTGATTGACTGAGCGAGTGACCGAGTGAGTGACTGAGCGAGTGACTGATTGACTGAGCGAGTGATTGAGCGAGTGACTGAGCGAGTGACTGATTGACTGAGCGAGTGACTGAGCGAGTGACTGAGCGAGTGATTGACTGAGCGAGTGACTGAGCGAGTGATTGAGCGAGTGACTGAGCGAGTGAGAGTTCACCGTGCCACCCCCCATGCCCCCCCCCCACCCCCCATGCCCCCCCCCCTCAGACAAACTACGAGAACCGCATCTACAGCCTGAGAATCGAGTGCGGCCCTAAGTACCCGGACATCCCTCCCACCTTGCGATTCATCACTAAGATCAACATGAACGGCATCAACAGCTCCACCGGCATGGCAAGCACCGCTCGCTCACCACTCGCTCACCACTCGCTCACCACTCGCTCGCCACACTCACCACTCACCCGATCGCTCGCTCACCACTCACCCGCTCGCTCACCACTCGCTCACCACTCGCTCGCCACTCGCCCGATCACTCACCCGCTCGCTCACCACTCGCTCACCACTCGCTCGCCACGCTCACCACTCACCCGTTCACTCGCCCGCTCGCTCACCACTCGCTCACCACTCACCCGTTCACTCACCCGCTCGCTCACCACTCGCTCGCCACTCGCTCGCCACGCTCACCACTCACCCGATCGCTTGCTCACCGCTCACCGCTCACCCGCTCGCTCACCGCTCACCACGCTCGCTCACCGCTCTCTCACCACTCACCCGCTCGCTCACCACGCTCGCTCACCACGCTCGCTCACCACGCTCGCTCACCACTCGCTCACCATGCTCACCGCTCACCCGATCACTCACCCGATCGCTCACCACGCTCGCTGACCACTCGCTCGCCATGCTCACCACTCACCCGCTCATTCACCACTCACCCGAAAGTTCGCTCACCCGCTCGCTCACCCGCTCGCTCACCACGCTCACCACTCACCCGATCATTCACCCGCTCGCTAACCCGCTCGCTCACCACCGTCGCTCACCACGCTCGCTTACCACGCTCGCTCACCGCTCGCTCGCCACGCTCACCACTCACCCGTTCATTCACCACTCGCCCGCTCGCTCACCACTCTCGCTCACCACTCGCTCACCATGCTCACCACTCACCCGCTCATTCACCACTCACCCGCTCGCTCACCGCTCACCACGCTCGCTCGCCACGCTCACCGCTCACCCGCTCATTCACCACTCACCAGATCATTCACCACTAACCCGCTCGCTCACCACTCACCCGCTCGCTCACCACTCAATCGCTCACCAATCACCATGCTCACCCCGCTCACCACTCAACTGCTCGCTCACCACTCACTCGCTCACCAGACTCACCACTCGCTCGCTCACCACACCACTCACTCACCACTCACTCGCTCTGCTCGCTCACCACTCACCCGCTCACCAATCACCCAGTCGGCTCACCACTCACCCGCTCACCAATCACCCGCTCACTCACCACTCACCCGCTCACCAATCACCCACTCGGCTCACCACTCACCCGCTCACCAATCACCCGCTCACTCAACACTCACCAATCACCCACTCGGCTCACCACTCACCCGCTCACCAATCACCCGCTCACTCACCATTCACCCGCTCACCAATCACCCACTCGGCTCACCACTCACCCGCTCACCACTCACCCGCTCACCAATCACCCGCTCGCTCACCACTCACCCGCTCGCCTCGCTCACCACACTCGCCACCCACTCGCTCACCAGACTCGCCGCTCAACCCGCTCGCTCACCACTCAACCCGCTCGCCTCGCTCACCACACTCGCCACCCACTCGCTCACCAGACTCACCGCTCAACCCGCTCGCTCACCACTCAACCCGCTCGCCTCGCTCACCACACTCGCCACCCGCTCGCTAACCAGACTCGCCGCTCAACCCGCTCGCTCACCACTCAACCCGCTCGCTCACCACTCACCCGCTCGCCTCGCTCACCACACTCGCCACCCACTCGCTCACCACACTCGCCACCCACTCGCTCACCAGACTCGCCGCTCACCCCGCTCGCTCACCACTCGCCATCTCCCCGCTTGCTCGGACACGGACGCGCGCACAAAGGCAAAGGAGATCCTGCACCGGTGTAGCCTCCACGGGCTGTAGGGGAGAGTGCCGTTGGTGGGTGGCAGCGCCGGTGAAGGCTCCCGGCGCGGTGACGCACGAAGGTTGGGTGGGTGTCCAGCGCCGCTCCAAGCCGCCTTTGTCTTCTCCTGGCTGCGACGTTTTGCTCCACCGCACCAGGTCACGCTCGTTTTGAGGCCGAGTTGACCTAGACGAGGCCCGAGACCGGTTGCCGCCCCGCGCCTCCGATTGGCCACGGTTGGCTACGTACGGTGTGGAAGAAGTTCGACGCACGGACACACTCTCACACAGAGACTCGTAGACTCATAGAGACTCATAGACTCACACAGAGACCCATAGACTCACACAGAGACTCGTAGACTCATAGAGACTCATAGACTCACACAGAGACCCGTAGACTCATCACACAGAGACCCATAGACTCACCACACAGAGACCCATAGACTCACACAGAGACCCATAGACTCATCACACAGAGACCCGTAGAGTCACACAGAGACTCGTAGACTCATAGAGACTCATAGACTCACACAGAGACCCATAGACTCACCACACAGAGACCCATAGACTCACACAGAGACCCATAGACTCATCACACAGAGACCCATAGACTCACACAGAGACCCATAGACTCACCACACAGAGACCCATAGACTCACACAGAGACCCATAGACTCATCACACAGAGACCCATAGACTCACACAGAGACCCATAGACTCACCACACAGAGACCCATAGACTCACACAGAGACCCATAGACTCATCACACAGAGACCCGTAGAGTCACACAGAGACCCGTAGACTCGCACAGAGACCCGTAGACTCGCACAGAGACCCATAGACTCATCACACAGAGACCCACAGACTCACCACACAGAGACCCATAGACTCACCACACAGAGACCCATAGACTCATCACACAGAGACCCATAGACTCATCACACAGAGACCCATAGACTCACCACACAGAGACTCTTAGACTCTCACACAAAGACTCATAGACTCACACAGAGACCCATAGACTCATAGACTCACACAGAGACCCGTAGACTCATCACACAGAGACCCATAGACTCACACAGAGACCCATAGACTCACCACACAGAGACCCATAGACTCACACAGAGACCCATAGACTCATCACACAGAGACCCGTAGAGTCACACAGAGACTCGTAGACTCATAGAGACTCATAGACTCACACAGAGACCCATAGACTCACCACACAGAGACCCATAGACTCACACAGAGACCCATAGACTCATCACACAGAGACCCATAGACTCACACAGAGACCCATAGACTCACCACACAGAGACCCATAGACTCACACAGAGACCCATAGACTCATCACACAGAGACCCGTAGAGTCACACAGAGACCCGTAGACTCGCACAGAGACCCGTAGACTCGCACAGAGACCCATAGACTCATCACACAGAGACCCACAGACTCACCACACAGAGACCCATAGACTCATCACACAGAGACCCATAGACTCATCATGCAGAGACCCATAGACTCACCACACAGAGACTCTTAGACTCTCACACAAAGACTCATAGACTCACACAGAGACCCATAGACTCATAGACTCACACAGAGACCCGTAGACTCATCACACAGAGACCCATAGACTCACACAGAGACCCATAGACTCACCACACAGAGACCCATAGACTCATAGAGACTCATAGACTCACACAGAGACTCATAGACTCACACAGAGACTCGTAGACTCATAGAGACTCATAGACTCACACAGAGACTCATAGACTCACACAGCAGAGACCCATAGACTCGCACATAGACTCACACAGAGACCCATAGACTCACACAGAGACCCATAGACTCACACAGAGACTCATAGACTCACACAGAGACCCATAGACTCACACAGAGACCCATAGACTCACACTGCAGAGACCCATAGACTCGCACATAGACTCACACAGAGACCCGTAGACTCACACAGAGACCCACAGACTCACACAGAGACTCGTAGACTCACACAGAGACCCGTAGACTCACACAGAGACCCATAGACTCACACAGAGACTCATAGACTCATCACACAGAGACCCACAGACTCACCACACAGAGACCCATAGACTCACCACACAGAGACCCATAGACTCACCACACAGAGACCCACAGACTCGCCACACAGAGACCCATAGACTCGCCACACAGAGACCCATAGACTCACCACACAGAGACCCACGGACTCACTACACAGAGACCCACAGACTCACCACACAGAGACCCACAGACTCACCACACAGACACCCACAGACTCACCACACAGACACCCACAGACTCACCACACAGAGACCCATAGACTCACCACACAGACACCCACAGACTCACACACCAGCTGACACGGTTAGCGCCACGCTGTGCCACGAACCCGTCGAACCACAGCTCGATGCCCGCTCACCTCCACCGCCACCACCACCACCAGTGACGATTGCTTGAACCGGTCCTGGGCCTCCTCCAGGTGGGCTCGGCCTCAAATGGCTGCCCGGTGTGGCGGTGCGCGGCAGTGAACAGGGCCCACGTGTGCGTGGTGCCGGCCACACCAGCCCCCTCGCGTGCCGCAGCTCCGGCCTTCGCCCTTGAGCGGCGCTTGCCCCGACGGCTCTGTTAAGGCTACACGCTGCGGTTGGGGGGCCCCTCTCTGTCTTCGGTGTGCGTGGGGGTAGGTGGACCCTCGGACGATCGGCGTCCTCACCAAGTGGCAGAGCTCCTACAGCATCCGGCTGGTGCTGCAGGAGCTGAAGAGACACATGATGACCAAGGACAACGTGAAGTTGCCCCAGCCTCCTGAGGGTCACACGTTCTGAGAGCGATCCCCCCCCCCCTCCCACTCCCCTGCCTCCCTACCCCACCGACCGACCGACCGACCGACCGCCTCGTCACCCCCACCACCACCACCACCACCACCCCCCCACCACCACCACCATCCCCCCACCACCACCACCCACCACCACCCCCCCCACCACCACCACCATCCCCCCACCACCACCGCAGCAGTTAGGGTGTCCCCGGCAGAGCGAGGTTCCTGGCCGTGTAAGCCGGCGGTGTGCGTGTGTGTGTTCGTGTGTGTGTGTGTGTTCGTGTGTGTGTGTGTGTTCGTGTGTGTGTGTCCGTGCCTGGCTGTGTGTGTGTGTTCGCGCGCGTCTGTTCGCCTGTGTCCGTGTGTGTGCGTGTTCGTGTGTGTGTGTGCGTGTCCGTGTGTGTGTGCTTGTTCGCCTGTGTCCGTGTGTGTGTGTGCTTGTTCGTGTGTGTGTGTGCGTGTTCGTGTGTGTGTGTGCGTGTTCGCCTGTGTGTGTGCGTGTCCGTGTGTCCGTGCGTGTCTGTGTGTGTGTGTGTCTGTGTGTGTGCGTGTCTGTGTGTGTGTGTGTGTGTCTGTGTGTGCGTGCGTGTCCGTGTGTCTGTGCGTGTCTGTGTGTGTTATTATTCGGCCAACGACGATTGCGAGTGGAACAGAAATTTCTTGAGCGTTACTTCGACGACCGCGATGGCGACTGCGACGGTGACTACCACGACCGGTAGACTGGTAGATGGGTACACTGGTAGATGGGTAGACGGGTAGACTGGTAGACTGGTAGACGGGTAGACTGGTAGACGGGTAGACTGGTAGACGGGTAGACTGGTAGACTGGTAGACGGGTAGACTGGTAGACGGGTAGACTGGTAGACGGGTAGACTGGTAGACGGGTAGACTGGTAGATGGGTACACGGGTAGACTGGTAGACGGGTAGACTGGTAGACGGGTAGACTGGTAGATGGGTAGACTGGTAGATGGGTAGACTGGTAGACGGGTAGACTGGTAGACGGGTAGACTGGTAGATGGGTAGACTGGTAGATGGGTAGACTGGTAGATGGGTACACTGGTAGACTGGTAGACTGGTAAACGGGTAGACGGGTAGACTGGTAGACTGGTAGACGGGTAGACTGGTAGATGGGTAGACTGGTAGACGGGTAGACTGGTAGATGGGTACACTGGTAGACTGGTAGATGGGTACACTGGTAGACTGGTAGACTGGTAAACGGGTAGACGGGTAGACTGGTAGACTGGTAGATGGGTAGACTGGTAGACGGGTAGACTGGTAGATGGGTAGACTGGTAGATGGGTACACTGGTAGACTGGTAGACTGGTAGACGGGTAGACGGGTAGACTGGTAGATGGGTAGACTGGTAGACTGGTAGATGGGTAGACTGGTAGATGGGTAGACTGGTAGACGGGTAGACTGGTAGATGGGTACACTGGTAGACTGGTAGATGGGTAGACTGGTAGACGGGTAGACTGGTAGATGGGTAGACTGGTAGATGGGTAGACTGGTAGACTGGTAGATGGGTAGATGGGTAGACTGGTAGACTGGTAGATGGTTAGACGGGTAGACTGGTAGACGGGTAGACGGGTAGACTGGTAGACTGGTAGATGGGTAGACTGGTAGATGGGTAGACTGGTAGATGGGTAGACTGGTAGATGGGTAGACTGGTAGACGGGTAGACTGGTAGACGGGTAGACTGGTAGATGGGTAGACTGGTAGATGGGTAGACTGGTAGACTGGTAGACGGGTAGACGGGTAGACTGGTAGATGGGTAGACTGGTAGACGGGTAGACGGGTAGACTGGTAGATGGGTAGACTGGTAGATGGGTAGACTGGTAGACTGGTAGATGGGTAGACTGGTAGATGGGTACACTGGTAGACTGGTAGACGGGTAGACTGGTAGACGGGTAGACTGGTAGATGGTTAGACGGGTAGACTGGTAGACGGGTAGACGGGTAGACTGGTAGACTGGTAGATGGGTAGACTGGTAGACGGGTAGACTGGTAGACGGGTAGACGGGTAGACTGGTAGACTGGTAGATGGGTAGACTGGTAGACTGGTAGATGGGTAGACTGGTAGATGGGTAGACTGGTAGATGGGTAGACTGGTAGACGGGTAGACTGGTAGACTGGTAGACGGGTAGATGGGTAGACTGGTAGATGGGTAGACTGGTAGACGGGTAGACTGGTAGACGGGTAGACTGGTAGATGGGTAGACTGGTAGATGGGTAGACTGGTAGACTGGTAGACGGGTAGACTGGTAGACGGGTAGACTGGTAGATGGGTAGACTGGTAGACTGGTAGATGGGTAGACTGGTAGACGGGTAGACTGGTAGACTGGTAGACGGGTAGACGGGTAGACTGGTAGATGGTTAGACGGGTAGACTGGTAGATGGGTAGACTGGTAGATGGTTAGACTGGTAGACGGGTAGACTGGTAGATGGGTAGACTGGTAGATGGGTAGACTGGTAGATGGGTAGACTGGTAGATGGTTAGACTGGTAGACGGGTAGACTGGTAGATGGGTAGACTGGTAGATGGTTAGACTGGTAGACGGGTAGACGGGTAGACTGGTAGACGGGCAGACTGGTAGATGGGTAGACTGGTAGATGGTTAGACTGGTAGACGGGTAGATGGGTAGACTGGTAGACGGGTAGACGGGTAGACTGGTAGACTGGTAGACGGGTAGACTGGTAGACTGGTAGATGGGTAGACTGGTAGACGGGTAGACTGGTAGATGGGTAGACTGGTAGATGGGTAGACTGGTAGATGGGTAGGCTGGTAAATGGGTAGACGGGTAGACTGGTAGACTGGTAGATGGGTAGACTGGTAGACGGGTAGACTGGTAGATGGGTAGACTGGTAGATGGGTAGACTGGTAGATGGGTAGATGGGTAGACTGGTAGACTGGTAGACGGACGCACGTCAGAGATTATTTCCCCGACGCCGACGAATTCTCACTGCCGCCAATCGGCCGACTGCGGTGACGGCACCGGCGCCACGTGGCCACCGGCATGGTGCGAGGCTCTCGCCGCCGGTGAACAACCGCAGCCATCGTCAGTCCCACTGCTGCCACCATGTTAACAACACGCTACCACCGTCGCCACCACCACCGCAGCTTACCGCCACCACCGCCACCGCCGCTACCACCACTACCACCATCACCACCGCCACTCCCTCCACCACCACTCCCTCCACCACCACTCCCTCCACCACCGCAGCTTACCGCCACCACCGCCACTGCCGCTACCACCGTCGCCACCACCACCACCGTCGCCACTCCCTCCACCAGTGCAGCTTTCCGCCACCACCATAACCACCACCACCACTACCATCGCCGCCACCACCGCCACTCCCTCCACCACCGCAGCTTACCGCCACCACCATAACCACCACCGCCGCTACCACCACTACCACCACCATCACCACCACCACTGCCGCTACCACCACGGTCACCACCACCGCTACCACCACGGTCACCACCACGGTCACCACGACCACCACTGCCGCTACCACCACCACTGCTGCTACCACCACTACCACCACCACCACTACCACCACTGCTGCTACCACTGCCGCTACCACCACAGTCACCACCACCGATGCCACCACCACAGTCACCACCACGGTCGCCACCACCACGGTCACCACCACCACCGTCACCACCACCATCGTAACTTCTGCCACCACATTCGCTGTCGAGCCGCGTGAAGACTAAATAATAATAATAAACCCCTAGACTCCGCTGGCTACGTTAACAACCGTGGTTCTGTGAGCGTGGTGGTGGTGGTGGTGCTGGTGGTGGTGCTGGTGGTGGTGGTGCTGGTGGTGGTGGTGCTGGTGGTGGTGGTGGTGGTGCTGGTGGTGGTGCTGGTGGTGGTGCTGGTGGTGGTGGTGCTGGTGGTGGCGGTGCTGGTAGTGGCGGTGGCGGTGGTGGTGGTGGTGCTGGTAGTGCTGGTGGTGCTGGTGGTGGTGCTGGTGGTGGTGAGCGAGGCGGAGGGCCTCACGGTAAGCGATGGTGATGGGAGGTGGGGTGGTGATGGGGGTTGGGGTGGTGATGGGAGGTGGGGTGGTGATGGGGGTTGGGGTAGTGATGGGGGTTGGGGTGGTGATGGGGGTTGGGGCGGTGATGGGAGGTGGGGTGGTGATGGGGTTTGGGGTGGTGATGGGGGTTGGGGTGGTGATGGGGGTTGGGGTAGTGATGGAGGTTGGGGTAGTGATGGGGGTTGTGGTAGTGATGGGGGTTGGGGTAGTGATGGGGTTTGGGGTAGTGATGTGGGTTGGGGTGGTGATGGGGGTTGGGGTGGTGATGGAGGTTGGGGTGGTGATGGGGGTTGGGGTGGTGATGGGAGTTGGGGCGGTGATGGGGGTTTGGGTAGTGATGGGGGTTGTGGTAGTGATGGGGGTTGGGGTGGTGATGGGGGTTGGGGTGGTGATGGGGGTTGGGGTGGTGATGGGAGTTGGGGCGGTGATGGGGGTTTGGGTAGTGATGGGGGTTGTGGTAGTGATGGGGGTTGGGGTGGTGATGGGGGTTGGGGTGGTGATGGGGTCTGTGGTGGTGATGGGGTCTGTGGTGGTGATGGGGGTTGGGGTGGTGATGGGGGTTGGGGTGGTGATGGGGGTTGGGGTGGTGATGGGGGTTGGGGTGGTGATGGGGGTTGGGGTGGTGATGGGGGTTGGGGCAGTGATGGGGGTTGGGGTGGTTAATGGGAGTTGGGGTAGCAGCAGCAGCGTCCTTCACGAACCTCCTCCACAGAGGCCGACCTTTGACACCGCTGGTACCGGTCATCGGCAAGTCCACTCAGCTTCGGCCAAACAGAGGCTGACTTTGGGGCGTGCAGGCCTCAAGACCCAGACAACGCTTCCCTGCAGGAGCTGCCCGCTGATGATGGCACTTGGATCAAGAGAACTCGAGGATCTGCAAGCTCCTGGGACTGTGGTCCAGCCTCGGTTAAACCATTCAGGTTGGGTCGCAGGCGGGGCCAGTCTGAACGTGCGTTGGACTTCTTTCGTGCTGTACGTAGCCAATCGGAGATGCGGGGGAAGGACATCGAACTATGGGTCTCTGTATGGTGAGTCTATGGGTCTCT